GACAAGATTTTATCTATAATAACAAAACAAGATTAGATAAGCAAATGGGTTTAATTTTTTTTTTTTTTTTAATGAAGGTAATTAGAAAAAATGGGAATTAGTGAGAAGAAAGTATCCGCAACGAAGAGATAATTTCCACTGAAAGTGAGAAGATTTTTTTAGTGGGTTGAGCTTATGCCTATTTTGTTTCAGATCGTTAAAACACCAGAAAATGCCATAGCCCTTGTTGTGGGGATGAACTTTTGAATTGTCTAAACAAGTATGCTGATTAATCAATAATTAATTTACAAACTTGTCATGACCAAAATTTCACATAATCAAAATTATGTGAACAACATCAATTTTTATCAAAATTGACATATTTACATCCATACAATGCTGTAAACACCAAGAATCATATTCTTCAAGCCACAAATATTGAACAAGCAACATTTTAACCCAAATCTCATTTGGCCAACTTCAATCAAACACTAAAATTCAATTAAATCTTGATGTTTGTGTCATAACCATCACATTCTTCAAACAAGAATCATAAAAACATTAATAGAAATTAAAATTTTCAAAAACCTAAGCTATGGCCGAATTTTGCTAGTTGAATAACATGATCAAAAACAAATTTTATGCATATAAAGGATACACATGCATGGATCTACAACTCTTACAAAGCAAGTTAACATGTAACTTTACAAATCAAAATTTGAAAAATTACACAACATTATTCAACATATGAACATGAATTTTTTGGCCAATTTTAGACAAATAAGGATCAAATCTTTTGCTCTGATACCATTTGAAAGATGGAATACATGGAGAATGATGCATGTGATACTATAACATGTATATTCATATTTTGCAAAAAAATTCAATCAAATTGAAAACAAATAAGGTATAACTTGTTACCTCTAAGTCCTTAGCAACCTTGGAGACTTTTAATTTCAAGAGAAATTAAACAAAAGAGTATCCACACTAATGTAAAAGAAGAATTAGGCCAAGAGAGACATTTAGGGTTCTTAGCAATTTTTTATCTCTACCCTAAAATTGATATATAATTTTCTTTATATATGTAGCCTTGTAAACAATTCAGTAATTGTTTTAGATTTCCTTAAACAATTCCATAATTTTTTTTGGAGTTGTAAATAATTCCATAATTATTATGAAATTGTTAAACTTCTTTAAATAATAACATTGGATTAACATTTAATCACAATTAACAATAAACAATTTAACCCTTAAATTGTTCATATGTTTACAATTACAGCCCATTATTAAATCCAATTTAATATAAAGAAAATGATTAATTATGAATTGGAATTCCATTTAATTCCAATTAACAATTTAACTCTTAAATTATTCATAATAACTAATATAACCCTCTATTAAATCTAATTCAATGATAATAATATAAATAATTTTATTACCCTTGGTAGGTGCTAGCCAACCTTGGATGATCAACTCTCTTTGGCTATTTCTCTATTCTTCATTCTCCTTAGTTTTTATGTGTGACCTCTTAGATTCACTATGGTTTAGCTGTGGGCCTAATATCATAGTCTATTTCGATATATTTTGTCATAAAACTTTATGAACAAAACTCCCACCGATTATGGTAGGTATCTAGCAATGCTCCATAACCCCTAAGTTACAATGAAGATATACTCCAACGAACCCTTTTTGTAATCATATGCGCTGTATAATCAAATCATTGCGTTGTCTAATCCTAATTAAGAATGGATTCATGGTATGTCAAAATCCTTATCTTAATTTTATATCAAATTGACAATCAATACATATGGAACGTGTCACTATGAAACAACTTTTCAAGTAACATTTTATATACCCCGGCCGAAGATTTCCCTTTTCCAATATATCTTGACATTTGTCTAGGAGCTTGATATCAATTTATACCAAGTCAATGGATTCAATCTTGACTATCACTTGTCCTCACACATAAACAACACATGGCCAAATCAGCTTATTAATACATGACATGGTTAGCCTCATATTTATACACCATATGAACCATATGCGTTTATGCAGAATCTAACTGTAATATCTCAGATCTAAGGATTAATAATACACGAGTAAGATCTTATGATAAATCATCGACTACATTTTAAATGTCCAAGTGATTCATCATAAATGGTCATATTCGATAAACAGTTCACTAACCGCTTATCCATGTTAATGCCCTAGTGATATAATTTTTATAATCACCCACACTAATACCATCACATGATATTCTATGGAGGCATTCAGCATGCCTACTATATAATATTATTGTCCAATTAATATTACATATACAGGGAATACTTATATGATTTTGATCTTCTAAAGATTTGTATCATCCGAACATTTCACATGTAATACATATATATAAATGAAGCAATAAACCACATGTGAAATAAGAACACTTTCTTCTATTAATAAGATAAAATATATATACATTAATATATATATACAAAACATAATGTCTTCAAACCGACGACACAATTGGTTCCTAGGGCATACACTAACAGATGAAACTTTGAAGTGGATTGTTGCTATGTTCAACATTGAAGTGCATTAAGTATTTCTCTCAATCATTGATCACTTGCAGTTCAAGACTAGCATCTATTGATATCTTCTACAAACTCACTGCATCACAAGTTGGAGCAAGAAGTGAATAAATTAAGAAGTTGTCAAGAGCTGCAGATTAAGGTCACCATGATTGTAATTATGACTCTGATGACTAACAATTTTTTTTTTGACTTGTTGCAGTTTCCTTTTAATGTTGTGGGGGAGGAAGGTCAATTATGGGGGCATTTTTCACTTGACAATGATGATAATGATATGTGACCTATCATATGGTGAATTAAGGATGGATTGAATAATGGAGATCTGAAGTCCGTGAAGAAGACCATTTTTTGCTAAAATGTGATTTTTTTTATGAACTTTGTTATTTTGAACCCTAAATCAGTTGTAACATGGATTATATTGATGTTACTTTATGTTTGTTAAAGAATTTCACTCATAAAACTTAGGCTCCGTTTGGTTCACTTTTTTACATTTTTTAGAAAAGTTTTTTGAAAAAAGTTAAAAAAAGTTAAATTGGGCAGGTATTATGATGTAGGATTTGGAAACTAATAAAATATCTCCTATATTTGTTTATTTACTAAACACCCCTATAATAACACTTTGAAAGTTAACAAAAACACCATCAACCCACCCATTGAATAATTACAGCCGGCCCCACCGCCGAAGGGTGGCCGGAGTCTCCGTATCAGCGCATGACCGGTTGGATCTTGCAGGTCGTGCACCGATATGGCATTTACCGGCCATATCTACGGTGGATCTGGCTGGTAAAGGCCAGATCTATGGCTAGATCTGGCCATTGACTGCTAGATCTGGTCGCATTTGCTCGTCAATGATGGTCAAAGATACGGCCGTCGTGGATGGTCAACGACGACCATATGTTGGCCGTCGTTGACGTCTGGTTACGGCTAAAGATCTGGCCTTAGATCTAGCCTTTTCTGGCCAGATCCACAGTGGATTTGGCTGGAAAAGGTTAGATCGGTGCACTACCGGCCAGATTCAGCTGGTAGTGCGCCATTATATTAGATTCCGACCAACTTTTGGCAACAGTGGCTGAAATCTGGTATAATGTGGGTTCAGGGGTGTTTTTGTAATTTAAAAAAATATTTAGGGGTATTTAATTAAATTAACAAATTTAAGGGGTTTAAAAAAAGTTGAATAATATTGGATAATATTGTGAGTTTTTGGGCATTTTACTGTTTAACTTTTTTGGGAATACTAATAATAGTATTCCCAAAAAACAACCAAACAGAGCCTTAAATTTTGGAATCTGCAGCTTCGTTTGGTTCACATATTGGGAAAACATTTCTAGTTTTCCCAAAAAAGTTAACTTTATTTCACCTATTTTGAAAATAGTTTTCTAAATTATTCAATTTCCTTAATCCCCCTAAATTTGTTAATTTAACTAAACAACCCCCAATTTTTTTTTGAAAGTTGACAAAAACACCCCAGTAACCCAAATTCACCAGATTTCGGCCACCACTGCCGGAAGCTGGTAGGAATTTGGTGTAATGGTGCACTACCGGCTGAATCTGGCTGGTAGTGCGCTTATCTAGCCTTTTCCGATTAGATCCACGTCAGATCTGGCCGAAAAAGGTCAAATCTACGGCCAAAGATCTGGTCGTCAACGACCAGATCTTTGGCCATAGACAGTCGTCAACGACGGTCGTATCTTTAGTCATCGACGACCAAATGCGGCCAAATCTGGCCGTCAATGGCCAGATCTAACCGCAGATCTGGCCTTTTCCGGCCAGATCCAAGGTGGATATGGTCGGAAAAGGCCATATCGGCGTACGACCGGCAATATCGTGTCGGTTATACGCTGATACGGCAACTCTGACCACCCTCCGGTGGTGGTGGTCGGCTATCCGTGTTTATGAGTGGATTGAGGGTGTTTTATTAATTTTGAACATTTTATTTAGGGCTGTTTAGTAAATAAATAAACATAAGGGATATTTAGGTTAATTTTTAAAATTCTATATCGTAATACCCACCCAATTTAATTTTTTTTCAAAAAATTATTCTAAAAACTACCCAATAATGAATCAAGCGGAGCTTGGCATTTTTTTTATGCTAACATCCTTATGTCAATATGATGACATCAACCTGAATCAGTTGGATCAGTCGACCCGATGCCCGACCAAATTGTCGGGTTTCGTTTTAAAACATTGATGATGGTATTGCCGATTTAAGGCATGTGAGTTAAATGAAATAATCTTTTCATATGACAGTTTTATGTCATTTCACTTTTAAGACGACATGCATACGAAAGAAACATATAACAAACCGACTCAACATTACCGCCAGAAGAAGAATGATTGGGCCTTCTCTTCGGCCCAAAACAAAAACAAATTGGACCAGCCCGATATCAAACCCTAACTACCGGCACGTGCGCTGGTACCGTACCAATCGATAGAGTCACGTGCAGAACTCAACAGCCGGCAATCAATCCCAATAGAGAAAACGCAGAGATTACAAACCCTAGCTCCAGCTCATTTCTTCCCGTTTTCACTGTCTCCGTTTCTCTCTGTAAAAAAATTATCTCCGTTTCAGCCTCGTTCTCAAGGTAATCTAAGCTCTCTCTCGCGAAACGCATAATAAATTATGTGTGCATATTGACTATGGACTTAATTAACGAATGTTAATTTGGTTTTTCTTTAGAATATTGGTTGATAGTTAATCGAACTTAGTTTGAACATAGGATATGAAATTGGGAAGAGATTATGGATTTTTGTTGTATTTGTTGCAAATACACTAATGATTTTTTTGAGCTAACTCCTGGAAATGGACAATAGTTTATGGTTTTGGATAGGGAGTCTTTGTGATTGGTTACTTGTGCTTAATTTTTAAGGTATTTGGGACTTTATGGCTGATTATAATGATGATAAAAAATTGAAAGTTAGGAAATTTGACAATAGAAAATCTCTGGATGTGGAGACTAGTAGCATAGTCCATTGTAGCTTCATATGTCTCATAAAATTAAGATTCTTGCGGGACCTTTATTGTAAATCATTTTTTGTTTGGAAAAACTTTTTAAGTCTTGAAGAATGTCTTTAGAAAAATGTTTTGGGTTGTTGCATCACAAAAACAAGTGAAATTCATTAATTAGACAATGGCAATGCCAAGGTTTTCTTATATCTCAAACTGTGAAATATGGGGGAACGGTATCTGTTTCTTTTTATCATCTGATTTTGTAGTTTGTAATATTGAGACAATTTCTAGTAACTTGCTTTTTGTAAGTGACACGTGTGTACTATTTAAATATGATCTCGAAGGGCTTTCATTTTTTTGTTTTGAAGTATAGTCTTTTAATGTTTACACAAAATCGGAAGAAATTTGATTACTTATTAAAATGTTGACTTATATTTTGTTGCCATTTGTAATTGTTTTGAGTTAATTATTTGTTGTCTTCTAATGCAGTTTCAAGTGTAACATCTCATGTTTTGTTTACCATATTACTTTCTGCTTTGCTTTTAAGTAGCGTGACAACTGAAAAGATCTGAGGAAGCTTTCCTTACAAGAATGTTCTTACACTTACTATCGAGATTCAGAATCCAGTCAATTTGGAAAGCGTTGATGAAAAGTTATTATCCACCTAATAAAGTTAATCTTTTGAAGAACAGGAGGCCATCACTGCCGATGTTATTTGGTTGTTTTTGAAACCATAGGTGCAAGGTTGTTCGCTTTTCCAGAGCTCCTAAAAGCTTTTTATTGGTGTCCTTGTCTAATGTCAGAAGGCATAATGGCTGTAGTCAAACCAGAGGTATGTCACGTAACTGTTAAATGAGTTTTAACTTTTGGTCCTACTGTATTTCTTTGTGCTCTTCAAATGGTTTAGTAGAAAGAGATATACCAGATTACTTGTTCTCTGGAAATATTTTTATTCGAAATATTGGTTGATAATGATCTATCTAGTCTTAATGAGCCACTTGTTGCTTGAATGACCATAACGGGTTTTCCGTGGTCTAGGTAAATAATTTAGGGTCTATGAACTAGGCTATGTTAAGATTTTTATTAACTACCTTTTTCTTTGGCATTTATATTCACGGGATGTCACTGTAATAATTATTTTTCCTCTGTAAGTTCTCTTATTACTATGCAGAAGTCATTGGGTTTGAGACTTGGCCTATGTCTTACTCTGATCAAACTAATACCGTATGTATATTTTTGTTGCCTTTAACAACCTGGTTTTTATTCTTACATAGTTTTGGTTGTGGTTTTATGAATTAGATGAAGTCTTATATTTGGATTCAAACTGCTGATGGTTCAATCCAGCAAGTAGAAGAGGAAGTAGCCATGTTTTGTCCCATGATATGCCGAGAAATTCTTCAAACAGGCATGGGTTCTTCAAAAAATTATGCTATACCTCTTCCACAAAGGGTCAATCCTCCCATTTTTGGCTTAATACTTGATTATTGCCGGTTTCATCAAGTACCCGGCCGCTCGAATAAGGTATGTTCTGTTCTCTCTGTTTCTTGCATAGCTTCTTTGCATCTGTAAGACAACTTTTCTCCTAGATTATATTTTAGTGACTAGATGAAGGACATTTGAACCGCTAAGTACTGTTCCATGGGAAGGTTTGTTGAAGATCAGGGGAAGTTCTTTCTTTTCTTTTCCTTGGTGTGCATGTGGTCGGGGGAACGGTTTGTTGAATAAGACTACAAGGTTTGTAGATTGATTCCAAATAGTTGAACCTTTGAATTTGAATGCGATCATTTCTAGGAGCGCAAAATTTTTGATGAGAAGTTTGTTCGGATGGATACAAAAAGGTTGTGCGAACTGATTTCAGCTGCTGACAGCCTCCAATTGAAGCCTTTGGTTGATCTCACTAGTCGTGCACTGGCTAGAATTATTGAAGGAAAATCTCCCGAGGAAATACGTGAGACATTTCATTTGCCCGATGATCTCACAGAGGTGTGTGCTGCTAGAAAGAGACCAATGTCTTTAATGTTTGGTTTACCTTTGTGGTTTTTCATGTAAAATTGGTTGTCCTTCAGGAGGAGAAGTTGGAACCGCTGAAAAACATAGCTGATGATCCACGTATTCGGCTTTTGAATCGGTTATATGCAAAGAAGAGAAAGGAACTACGAGAAAGGGGGAAACTTAAGGTGGTTTAAGTCTTATTGTTGTTTGTAGCCACTTATAACATACTATTTTTTTGGACTAATCTTTGTGTTTTTGGTGCATTAATTCAAATTTGAATTTTTATAAAATATAATTTGAAGGTATTTAAGTACTCAAACTGGAATATACATGTTAGCTTTGGTAACAAATCAATTTTCCTTATATTTCAGAATGTTGAGGTTGAGGAGGAGCTTGTGGATGAACGCTCGGTTGACGATCTATTGTCATTTATTAATGGTGGAAATGAAGGTATATATGAGATATGGTCCCTCATTGCGTTAGCAGATAGCTTGCATTATCTTTTGTGTGTTGCACTTTTTAGCTCTCAACTTATCCAGCCGGTTATTTAGTTGTAACTGATAGCATATGACTTGGAGAGTGACATTTATTGGGGTTGATATAATTAAGAAATCAAGACATCAAACTTTTAAGGATTTCTTTTGAGTACTTTCTAAGTTATCAAAATTTCTATGTAATTAATGATTGAAATCCATCCCATTGCCTGATTATCAGCGCCTATATTAGTTGAATTAGGATTAGTTTCCAAATGCAACTTTTTATAAAACGGATGGAAACAGTGAACAACTTTGAGTCAATTTGGCAAGTGCCTCCTGAAGAGCTCTTCAAATTCATTGGCCATTTTTAGAAAATTTTGAAGTAATTTATTATTGATCCTTGTCCTGGCAATAGATTAATCATATCTTCTGTTCTATATAAAATCTATAGTCCATGAATACAAATCCATTAAGCTTAGTTTGAGTTTAGATCAGTTTTCCAATTGCAGAAAAGTATTTTACTGTAACGAGTGGTCTTTAGCAACTAATGCCTATCATTGTGTTGTGAACTTTGTATGAATAGTATGTTTGTCTGATTTTATTTTTCCTCATGGGCTTGTGGTTCAGTTTACAAGTATTCAATTTGTTTTACGACTTCAAATGGTTTAACCATACTAATTGAGTGAGTAGAAATTGTTGCAGTTCACTGTCATTAACTATCAACTAATTTTTTTCTTCGGGAGGCAGTGTGTGCTCTCCTTTAAAGTCCCTTAAGTGATGGTTTCCATAAACACTCGTTGACAGATGCTTCAGTGTGTATAATATTTTTTGATGATGCTTAGCCTTGGCATACCCTTATAAAGTGTTATCTATTCCTCAGAGTCAAAGGAGGTTAAAACAAATAAGAATAAAAAGAAAAATCGGAGACGAAAAGATCAACTTAAGGATTCATCTTCAAACAGTTTAGACGGAAACCACAAGGTTGGCTCCTCTCTCTCTAGCTTATCCTGTGTTTGTGTGCTGCATGTCTTCTATGTGCATTTATGTGTTGCCTTTGCATGTGCATGCTTTTTTGTTATCAGAATCATTATTTTACCCATTGTTTTTGGCAATGACAAATTTTATAAGCTGATATATTTCACGTTCTTGATTGGCTATTGTTCTTTTTATTGTTTTAGGCATTCGATTCTCTCACGTCTGCTTGCCGTGATGGTGAACTTAGTGACATTACGTTGTCCACTCCTAGTCAAACTTCAAAGTTGCAAGGTTCAACAGCTGTTAGCTTTTCACCTAAGCTTGAGTTTGATGATTCTGATAGTGATGACGATTTGGATCCTGTAATGAAGGAGGAACTTGACAGGTTGTACATTTCATTCTAATCATATTCTAATATATGCTTTTTCCAGCTGTTTTCGTAAATCATTTCATTTGCAGCCGCTGTTTTCATATATAAGCTGGTTACTGTGGGAGAAATGACATTTATTTTACTATTCTTACCAATCAACTAGGGAGGTGGAGGACTTCGCTCGGAGATTGAATTCTGATTGGCCACAAAGGATGCAGGAAATTTTATCATTAAGCCAACAAAGAAGGCTTCTACCAGTATCTATGAATGGAAATGATTCTGCACACAGATGTACAGAGTAATGCTTTTTCCTTAATTATGTTGATACTTTATACAGTAGTTGAAGAAAATTTTTGCCTTGATAGACTGAAAATGGTATAAGAGGAGTTATTTTAACTGCTAGTCAATATAACGAATCGATATTTTTATTTGCTAACAGTTTTGGACAGCAGATAATACTTCAAGATCAATAGAGTATTTATTTATGAAAATATCAGCAGCCGGAGGACACGGTAGAGCAATTTTTGGTGCTGCGAGATGGTAGAAGAGTTGGCACTTTTTTTCGTGTCCACTGCATGTGATTATATTTGTTTGTTTTACCATCACCAAAATGCAATTTACATTTTTGGAAGTTTTTGTACAATGGAAAAGGAAAGTTGAAAGTTAAAAGAATCAACTCTTGAGAGATGAGTGAGCAAAAATCTGCTTATTTGTCTTGTTTTTTAATTTAATTTAATTTTGTTGCAGTTGGGTTTTTTTTAATTTTCAGCCATACTATCATAGCTGGGTATACTTCCTCAAAATTTTGTTCATGGGGTTCAATACAACAGAATTTTAGACATGTTACTGTAAACTGGTAATTGACTTGATTAGAGAAGCACTTCCGCTTACACATAGAACTCCTCATAGATGGTACATTTTTATAATAATCAGCCCAAATAAACAAGAAAACTTTTTACTATTAAACTCAAACCTAAGGACATGGAGTTTAACTTTAACATACACCATAATCTTAATAAAAAGGGGACAAAATAAATATTTTAAGCTGTATCAGTATCAGTCCTTGACCTTGAGCGCAGAGTAGTATTTCTTAAAAGCTTTGGGAAGATAAAAAGGCAGCAAGAAGCCAAATAGATTGAAGCACCACAAGGCCATATTAGTCACAGCAAGTGCTCTCCCAATATATAATCTCCTTGTCGATCCTCCATACTCACCTTCAACCTTAGAAATCTCACTCTTTAACCAATCCACAAGGGTGAAAATTCTCCGTGAATTATAGAAAACCGGCACAAATACACGTATTGGTGTAGAAAACCTGTCCGAGAAGGCCAGTCCTTCCATAAAAACTTGACTAGAAAGAAGAAAAACATGCGGCGCTGCAGCTTGTATCCCCTCTTTATCGCCCTCAAGTATGCCTTCAAATATGTAAGCTATGGGGAGTAAAAGCCCGATGACAGCAGCAGCCAAAACGTAGAGGCGAAGAACCCTGTTATTGGGGTCGTAAACTATGGGTTCTCTTGTAGGGTGGAGAGTTGGGAAGGCAACTTTTGAGAGGAAATACAGGTAAATAACAGAAAAGATGACAAATGCAAAGTCCTCAAGGCTTACCATGCCACTGGCTGAGAAAACAATGATGACAGCCAGGGCATTAAGTTGGCGAAAGCTGAGAAAACCTGCAGCTTTACTAGGAGTGGCAGCGGCAGTGTTCTTGGTGGACGATGGATCATCCTGTTGTTTAAAAGCTACTTCATCTTCTTTTGGGAGAGTTATGTCTTTGCCTGACATTTTGTGTTTACTGTGCTTTTTTTGCTTCAGAAAAGATGATCAGGAACACATAAGATCTAAGATTTAGAATCCGAGGAAAGAAACAGAAGATAAGTAGACTTAGGATTTTGAGGAAAAATGTGAGCCACAGGAAAAAGAGTGTCTAGGAGATCAATTTTAGGGAGTTGGAAGAACTTGTTCAGTTGAGGCGAGGAAGATTGACAAGTGGCAGATATGGAGGGGTTAAAGGTAGAAGGATGTGAGACGTGGGTGGTTTGGATTGGAAGTCAAGAACTGTAAAGCTATTTACAAGCCAATTGATTCGGTGTTATAAGCCAATGTTTTGGATCAGAGTGTCCAGTGGTCTTCCATGAATGTTAGGGCCGTGTCAGCGACTGACACATTACCACGTGGAGGAAATCGGAAAGGTTATTGGGCCTTCAGATGCAACCAAAAAAAAAAAAAAAAACAGGCTTAAATTTGTATCCATCACCTTCAAAGTTCATGGACTTCGTTTGGGCTCATGGGCTGTGGCCTTTTGGACGTGATTTCGACAATAGGGTATTAAATAATTCACTCGCGGGGATCCCATGATGCGCGTTTGAAAAACCTTTTAACACTACTAAATAAACTTCCAAAATAGCACTTTTTGTGTCGATTTCGTAGAAATTAACTAAAGTCTCTTTTTTTTTTTTTTTTTTTTTTAAATTTTCTCAAAAACCTTAGTAAAATAAAAGACATCAAGTAATATAAATTTGTAATTTGTACTATGTCACAAATATAGTGATAACTATTGTTTTAAAACCTGAATGGATCACAGGTCAACCAGTCCAACCGGTTGGACCGATAACATCAACGATAATTTTATTTTTAAAAAATTATTATTAATCCCTAAAATTTTAATATATTACAAAAATTCTCCTAAAAAAGTTCAAATTAGTCTCTAAAATTTTTATTTATTTCAAAAATACCCCAAAAAACTTGCCAATCAATCCCTAAACTTTGACATATCTCCAAAATATCCCTATAAAATTACAATTACCCTTATAATTTTGAAATATTACAAAAAAACCCCCTAAGACTGTAAGACCTGAACCGGACCGGAGAAGCTGCTAGGTCCCAGTCGGACCGGTCCAATTTTTAAAACAGAGGTGATAACAAGTGCTTCTATGAGAAGCAAGTTTCAACCATCAAAGCAATGTAGTCTAATTGCATGCATCAATAAACAATGAAAATTAAAAGACTTCAAAATTCCTACAGTAATTGTTAATGAAGTCGAATATTGTTACTAACTAAAACGTTCTACTAATTAACTTTCAACTTAATCTCCTAACCCAAAGGTGTAAACTATCAAAATTAATAAATACAACATTTTCCAAGTGTTTTTGAATGCAGTAGTTATTCGGAAGGTAGAGATCAGAGATGGAAGCTCGGTTTCATTCTCAGAAGAAGATGGAGGGAAAAGAGAGCACATAATAACCTTTGAAATAACTTGAAACAAAATTTATTACAGATAAATCTAGAAAGTTAACCCATATAGAAAAAAGAATCAAACTGCTATAATACTGTGAGAAAAAAAGGACGGAACAAAAATTGATTTCCCTCAAAACCTTTTTTTTTTTTTTTATAATTTCCTGACAGAAGACCACTAGAAAAACTGGAACCTCTGCTAAAAATATGGTGGGCTACTAAAACTGTGCACATTTCTATAGCTAAAGAAATCGCATCTCTTTCTCTTCAGGTGAGGATTCTGTGTTTGGGAATATACTTTATCTTGGGACCTTTGTCTGGTTTTGTTCTAAACTTGGGTTTAGCAGAAGCTCCGGTTGCTGTTGAAGACTCGAGAGCTCCAGCGTTAGCCAACCGTTTGTGAGACTCTGATGACTGAATTACTGTTACTTGATAGTCACTCTCAAACTCTTGATACCCACCAGATTCGGAAGCCGGCGGCAGAACCAATTTCACGTGTTCGGCTGCAATTGCCTCCTTCCATCCTGCATGAATTTTGTAGCCAGTCAGATAATTTCAAGCAAAGCAAATACAGTAATGGCCAATTTAGACCAGAAACCTTGCACATAAATAAAGTTGAACTTACTCTCTGATAGAAAGGCTTTTGCAGCATGCCTATTAAACTGCATGCTTCCTGGACAGATACTCTCCTCCATGAGTGAAGTAGAACTCCCAAGCCCACCATTATTATCATCTATGGACAATCTAAGACAGCTTTCACTCAATAGGGTCTGATAATTGGCTTGTTCAACATTCACATCCCCTTTGGATTCTCTACATCCATTTTGAACTGGGGCAGGACCCTTAGTCCCACGCCGGCTAACTGGCCTCCACTTAACTGTTGACCTGCTTGTGCCACACTGAATGGGCTTCTCGGTAACATTATTCTTTTTTGGCATGTGATGCTCTTCCATGCAATCATCTTGGGCTTCAGCCACAGTTTTACCCTCATTATGATCACAATGTCCAAGTGTGACAGATATAGAGCCAATCAAAACCTCATGGTCCTTGTCTTCTTGGGGTTGGTTTATGGATTCTTTCAGTACTCTCGTTTTCAGATTCCCGTAATCATTTTCTGGTTTTGGTTTCCGGCTCCAAACCTTATTGCCACCAACTATTGGAGCAGCCCTTAAATCCCTGTTATTTCCACGTTTTTGCACTCCTCCAAGCTTCAATGCATGAGAATTTTGATTGGCATGAAAAACATTGAGCATACCTCGTGATTTTGATGGCAAATGCCGTCGAATAACAACCATATGCCGACGGCCACTTCCTTGTATCATCTGTCGTTCAATATTCTGCCCAGGGCCTAAATCAGCATAACCATTGCCAGACCCGGCCTGAACTTCATAATCCACATCTTCATCAGAGTCTGCAAATTGGAAGGGTTCAAGAGATGAGGGAACCTGATCTAGCAATGCATCCTCATTGTGTGCGTCAGAATCAGATGTAGCCAGAGGACTGGATGTTTCTAGTGGAGGCACAGACTCTGATGTGCCATCAGTGCTCTCCTTATCGTCTGCCTTCTCCCCATGTCTCTGCTCTTTTGCTTTCTGCTCCTTTTGCCTCAGCTTTTTCTGTCTTTTCCTTTCCAAGATCTCTGCTTGCCTATTCAAGTTTTAGAAATTAAAAAAAAAGTTAACAGAGAAATGTAGCAAACTAGATATCCAAATAAGCATTATCAAAAGCTAAATTTCTTGCTGAAACAAGGTTTCCTTGTAGGAGAACTTTTATCAAGTGGCTAAGCAGATAATGGGGCGAGGTGTGTGCATTCAAGACACTAAAACTTCAAACCTCTCCATTTGTTCCACTCAATAATTTCAGAGCTAGTCAGAACAGAACCCACAAGTTGCCTGATCCTAATCCTATATATTTGTCATACAAAGTCACTTAGGCTAATGTACAAACTGGTTAACTAACGAAGAGAATTGTCTTTTACTAAAAAAAGGTGAATCATACTAGCTTCCCCGGAGACAATTCAAAAAAGTAACATAAATTAGGTAGAAAAAGGTCGAGCACAATGTACCTTCTCTGAGCAGCTTCTTCCTCCTCCACTAACAACTTCTGGCACCTTAAAGCTTCTGCATCCTTATCAGCTAGCCATGCTTTGACCTGAACACACAACAATTATATTTATAATTGTGACAACCAAAACCACCCTCCCTATTTTTCAATCACAATGAGAAGAATCAAATACAAAATTGAGCATATCTCAGAAGTTTCAGTAATGAGTAACCTAAAATCTACAAGGAAAAAATTAGAAAATACCAAAATCTGTTCCACCAGAAAGCTTGTGCATGCAACCAAGTTCCTTGTTTCAAGACCAATCTTCCCAGCTTCACCATCAAATATATATTTTTGCATTGATACTGCTATCCCAGATAGGAATGTCTTTTCACTAGCATCATCAAGGATGTTGAATAGTTCTTGGGAAGATAAAGGAAACCTGGAAGGCCTAGCTTGAACAATATCCTGCAAAAATTGCAGGTATATGACATCCAAACAATAAAGAAAAAGTTATGGCAGCTCAAACAACAGAATCTGGAAGAAAATATATGAAAACAGAAATGTTCCCTTACCAGAAGGGCAGAACCAGCCCTCACACAAACTTGAGGGAGAGAAGCATATACAGGTTTCCGAATAACTGCAGTCAGTGACTTTATAATAGAAGACCCTGTAACTCCCTAGATGGTGTATACCAAAAGAAAAATTACTTAGAAAAAAATTAAAGAAAGAAATGGACTAAGTGGAAAATACCTTGAAATAAAACATATGCCATATGTGCATCATAATACTACCATATATTACACGACTAAGTTCAACGAACATCTTAGTAGAAATATCATCAGTCTCAAATAGATGTATTTGGATACTACCAACACAAACAAAATTAATTTGGAAGAGAAGTACTACCCGGTAAACACATCAGATAATGTTGCTAGATATCTTCCTAACATTAAAAAAAAAAGTTCAAGAACCACAAAGAATTACACCCAAAGGGAATTACAAAAATATTTATTGAAAACTTGTCTAGGGGAATTACAAAAATATTCATTGAAATTTGTCTAAGTTGTGGACTTGGACTGACACAAATCGACATCTTATGATGAAAATGATAATCTCAGTAAACCAACCACAAAATTCTAAAACAAACTCATCCAACTCTTCTAAGAAAATAAATCCAACTCAAGTAAGTTTTTTCAAAATATTCTATTCATGGTTTCTGTCCTACATCACTTGATAAGAAGTTCCACAACAACCCCATAAAAAGGTAAGCTGCCAATCATTATAACAAGGCAGTAACCGGATTAAACTTTATAACAAAACAAAACCAATCTCAATTTCATTTTTTTTTTTTTTTTTTTTTTAAAGCACAAAAACATAATTTATTCATCATCATTTTCATTAGAAAAACTAGAATAATTTCCATAAACACATGCATCTTATGGGAATTGTGCTAGATATATCATCATGCTTGCCAGGAACCTCAATTCATCTTGTATGAAACTAGAAGGAGAAACAGTTTTACCTCCAAGGTCACATTATTGAATGATACAACTTCCTTTGCTTCATCCACAGAAAGCTGTATACAAAAATAAAAAGATGAAAAACACAACCAAGTAGGTAGACCTTCATCAGAAACAACTCGGAAGAAAGCTGTCACCTTATCCCAAAATGCTCCTAAAAGATCCCTGTTTTTGGAAGAATCCTAGAGATGTAAAAGAAATTCTTCTGTGAGAATCCTAAATATGAAGGACAACATCAAAATAGTTGAGAAAGATACTACTTAAAGACAGATTTAATATCAACTCAAAATTATAGAATGCTGATATCTAAATTACTAAAAAATAGCAAATATCCAAATTCCAGAGCTAATTAGTTAGAACATAAAAAAGCTTAAAGTAATCATACTAATAGAGATATAATTATCTTTTCAAGATAGAAATGAAACCTTATCAAGCTTTTTCAACCGATGGTGGACACGAATATGTCTCCTATAGTTAATAGTGGAACAGAATTCTCGGGAACACTTGTCACATTTCTGGAGCTGTATCTTCATAGGTGTAGAAAGCAAAGGCCAACCAGGCAGTTCTGCCAAAAGTAAAGATAAGCTGTAAATCAACATACATGGCTGCAACTTCAAACAAGGCCTATTCTTGTACACAACTCAGACATTTAAAATTACATGTGATATACAGACACATATAAGTACATAGGAGACAGTATTCAGACCCACAACTAGCCTGAGCAGTGGCAACAACAGCCTCAGGAAATTTTAGAGATTGCATCTGAAGCATAATTTCAGATGCTGTCAGTGCTCTCCTGAAAAAGATACCAACACTATTTGTAATGAACAAATTCCTAATTCCCATTAATCATAGATACATATGCATTGAAACTATTACAATGGTCAAGGAAATGTTCCTTTCTTCTATATTACTAATTTTCAAACCATTATAGTTTATTGGTACCTTGCTGATCCAAAGCTTGGAGTAACTGGATCCACTGAACTGAGCTGTCCCCATTTCTAGAGAAAGAAAGAAGAGGCTCTTTTCCAATCGCTTGTTTGATCAAAGTGTCTAGAGACTCATTTCCTTCCTCTGCTTTCACCACATCTGTGGTGTTAGAGGCTTTCAGTTTTGCAGCCGGCATTTATGCACACAGGAAATTTATGCCCACTATCTCATAAGACGCCACTGCAACAAGAACAATAACATACATGACAACTCCACAACCGATAAAAAAAAAAATATCCTCTAGGCAATCATCCAAGAAATGAGAATAATGACATCAAATATAAATAAATGAATTTAACCGAAGAGTGAGCTCCCATTTCAACATTTCACCATTATTACAAGAAATGGAACGGTCAGATACACCTTATTGCTCTCATTGGCCATAAAAGTAGAAATCATTTTGCCACTAATATTATCAGTTCGCAAAAGTGATACAATACTATCAGTTCTGTTTGGTTTTTACAAAAGTGATATCCACAAGGCAATCATCCAAGAAATGAGAATAATGACATCAAATATAAATAAATGAATTTAACTGAAGAGTGAGCTCCCGTTTCAACATTTCACCATTATTACAACATTTCACCATTATTACAACATTTCACCTTATTGCTCGCACTTATACAAAACCAGATCGCAAAAGTGATACAACACTACCAGTTCTGTTTGGTTTTTACAAAATTTACAACAAAAATTAATAACTTTTGAGTCTTCCATTGTCCACCGGCAGCACGAAGTTGAAGTTCTAATTTTACCTCAGAAAATTTGTTTATCTACCAAGAGATTTAGTTTTTGAAATAAAAATAATATTCTTTATCGGCTACCAAAAAGAGCAACTATTGAATGTCCGCATAAAAAAGAAATTTAAAAAAAAAAAAAAAAAAACGAATGAATGGAAAAGGCAAAGGTTGTTAGGGTTTCGTGTCACGTAATCAGTGACCAAAACATGCTGTCGAATTGTATAAATATACGTGGAAATACATAACACAAAGAAAGTGAAGCGATCCATTGGCATACCAGTGGCGAGTGAAAAAGATCGGTTAAAGGCGAGATAAAATCTCTGGCGATCGGACTGATTCGGAGTCACCGAGGAGAATATTATGAAGTGTTTGGCGGGAGAGAAAAACGCCGAGAAAATGCAAGAAAGTGATCGGCCCTGAACTTGAGGGAAAGAAAAAAGAGAGAGAGAGAGTTTCGAGGAAGACTACTGTGAGTGAAAAATGAAAATATATAAAGGTGCAAACAAAGCAGAACCCTCTTTACTTTAGTGAGGAAATAAAAATAATAAGTTTTTTAAAAATAAGAATAAGGAAACACGACTACGACATGTGAGATTGTATGATACGCGCTGTCAACGAAAGTGAGAAACACGGAAAGAAGTGCGGAGATGGGTAGCCCAAATGGCCCAAGATTAGTATCACTGGGCTTTTTCGTAAAATTGTATGGTGTCATTTGGGCTGTAGGAGGAACTTGAAATTGAAAGAAGAAACAGTCATTTTTTTAAAGATTTTTTAACCTCCATCAAATTCATTACTATCCCCAATTGTTAAATACACTTTTATGATATTTAAAAAAAATCTCTTTAAAACTTGTTTAATACCGAAAATATCACTACTTAATTACGTTTAATTAGGATTTTTATTTGCACCATTTTTCCCCAATTTTAAACTTCATTAGGGTTTTTTATTGTACTACTTTTCCCCAATTTCAAACTTAATTAGGGATGTTTACACTATTTTTTCCCAATTTCTTAATTAATTTTTTATATTTATTTATACACTTTTTTCCTAGTTTCTGAAACTTACTCTTTTTTTTTTTTTAATTCAAATTTAGATTCATCATGTTGTATGATTGTTTTCTTCATAGCTTTAGTAATTCTTTCATCAAATGAAGAATTATTTGAAATTAAAAAAAAATGTTTAAATGATTTAGAAAATTTAGATTTATGGTTTATGTAAAAATTAAATAAAAAACATAAAATTAGAAGGAGTATATTTAGAAATTATCATGTCGATATGATTAAACTTGTTAAAAAAAAAAATACATTTTAAAAGTGGTGGATATGATCAATTTTGATAGGGGCAAATATCACTTCTTATTATTTTGGAGCTCTCATTAATTGTCCATATCCTCAGTTACTAAATAATACACTTCTTTTATATTTAAAAAAAAAAAAAAAAAAAAAATTTAAACAACATTTAACACCAAAAGTATAATCAAGGCATTTTTTTTTTTTTTTTTTTTTTTTTTTTTGGGTTTAACACCCTTTTCTCCAATCTCAAATTTGAAATTCACATTTTCTTTTTTGGATTCATTCTAGTACATGATTACTTTCCCATAATTTTAATAATATATTTTCATCGAATCAACAAATATTTGAAAAAGACAGGACTTCGATCATAAAAATTTAAAGATAGGTTTTATGTAAGAATTAAAGATTAAAACAAATATATAAAAGACATTAAGACTAAACTTGTAAAATTACTTCCCTTTATTTCTTTATTAAAAAAAATTCATCACGTATTTTATTAAAATTGATTAAATTTTGCATTTAAAATCAGATAAATGGCCCAAGTTGGTCACTTGAAATGGTGATATACGTTTAGTAAAAAGGTGCATTCGGATTCAGGTGATTTCAGAAAAGGTCAAAACTCAAAAGGCATTTTTTTTTTTTAATTTGTGTACTTATAATTATGTGAAATGTTACAAAAAAAAAAAAAAAAAAAAAAAAAAAAAAAAAAAAATTCTTTATGAGCTATATTTTGAATCTTTGTACATCAAGTATATTAAATTGACTGGGTATGCCGTATAAGGAAGTATTATGGCCACTGTTTTGTATCTCCGCTGCTTGGCAAAATCAATCATCACAAGAATGAAGTATAAAACAAAATTCAGATAGAAGTTTCACCCATGTTGCTGCCACTCTAGAATTGCCTGATGAAGGGCATAATTAGGGAGTAGATTGCAGTGATCAAGCTTTAAATTTGTCATTGGTGAAGTATCATGGCCGCTCTTTAACCATCCTCTAATTGCATCTCCTTCGTAAGTGAAACCATCTGCCGCTATATGTGGATCTTTCATGACTTCCTGCAAATATCAAGCAAAAGCCATGGTCATATGTAATTATATTTAAGTCTGAGCATTAGCTCTACTAGAATCCTCGGCTTTGAAAGTACACTTCTAAAAGTTATGCAGGATGTTGTGATTGTTCATCAGAAAACTAGAGAGGTGTAATGTGATAGAACTACTAGAAAGAAGGTAATCAAACCCCTATGAAAAGGTGAAAGAGCTACATAAGTCAACTAGCAGTCATGATGTACCTGAAAAATGGGACACATGAAATGTGAGGGAATTCGACGAGGCTCCTTTGAACTAGAGTATGATGCTCGGACAATGCATGAAACCTTAATTTGCTCAAGCACAGTCCATATCTCTGATGCAAGGTCTGGTCGATTGAACTTCTTGTCACAACACCTCATTGCCAAGTGAGCCAACTGTTTGGCTTCTGCAAGTGGCCAGTCCCCAGCTGAACAATCCAACACTGTATTGAAATTTCCCTTGTCTAATGCACATTTTACATCTTTCATTATTCTCGAAACATGTCTCCCTGTCAAAAGTCGTAACAGTATAATTCCAAACGAGTACACATCTGACTCTGGAGTAAGTTTTCCTGTTTCTAGATATTCTGGATCCATATACTCAGAGGTTTCATTAATGTGGGATTCATTAGATAATGCAGTGGACCTATCAGTACTTTCACCTCGAGGTATCAAACGAAATATGCCCAAGTCACCAAGTTTGCTGACAAAGTTTGCATCAAGGAGGATTTTAGAGGGTTTTAAATTCCCATGGATAATACAAGGTTCATTGGAGTGAAGGTAGATAAGGGCAGAGCATATTTCAGAGGCAACCTGTATACGAGTGTGCCATGCCAGTGGAGCAATCTTATCTTTACAGGCAAGGAAGTCTTCCAGGCTTCCATTTCTGAGGTACTCATAAACAAGGGACCTAGATTCTGGACAAGTTCCAATTAGCGTTACTAGGTTTGGATGCCTCACTCGGCTCAAAACCTCCACCTGAAATTCAACCAGGAAAAATGACCCTCGGTCATTACGCTGCTAGATATTCAACAGAAAATAGGTAATAAAAGGGAAACTCCAAACTAATAAAACTCGTGCCACCCAAGTTACACTGAAATATTGAGAAAATACAAGGGCTCCGTTTGGTTCACAACTTTGTGTTTTTGGGAAAAGTTTTTTGAAAAAAGTTAAAAAAAAATTGAATTGGGCGGGTATTACGATGTAGGATTTATAAATTACTAAAATACCCCTTATGTTTGTTTTTTTACAAAACACCCCCTATAATAAAACATTAAAAGTTAACAAAAACACCCCCAACCGTATCAGCGCATGACCGGCTAGATCTTGCTAGTCGTGCGCTGCTATGGCCTTTTCCGGCCAGATCCATGGTGGATCTGGCCGGCAAAGGCCAGATCTACGGCTAGATCTGGCCATTGCTGTATTTGCCCGTCAACGACAACATCAATGACGACTGTTTGTTGATCTGGCCGGAAAAGGCTAGATCGACGCACTACCAGCCAGATTCAGCCGATAGTGCGCCATCCTACCAGATTCCGGCCATTTTCTGGCAGTGATGGCCGGAATCTGGTAAATGTGGATTGTTGGGGTGTTTTTGCAATTTTTAAAAAAATATTTAGGGGTACTTAATTAAATTAACAAATTTAAGGGGTTTAAAAAAAGTTGAATAATATTGTGATTTTTTGGGTATTTTACTGTTTAACTTTTTTGGGAATACTAAAAGCAGTATTCCCAAAAACCAGCCAAACGAAGCCAAGAAATTTTAAGATCATTAAGAAGTCTGGCACCCTGTAGGATACAAACACTGCCTTCATCATTTCTTGACCAATTCCTTTATCTTCAAAAGTTCAAAACATAATTGGACATGGCAGTTGAATTATGAATCCATTCAGAAAGAAGATTCAAACAATGTCTCTACCCTAGCCGAAAAAATGTAAAACAACAGAAAACAAATCCAAAGGTGGGTTGCATTGGAAGACTTTGCTACTACTAATAATTTAACAGTTCCATACTATTTAAGGCGGCAGCACCTGAAAATACAGAATGCCAAGGTTGTTAGTGACCGAAACTTCTGAATGGTCATAATATTTCAGGATGATTTAGTTTTTCCATGGCAGAACTGTTAAGCTCTTCAGTATGGTTGTCATCAAATGCATTGAAACAATCTTTAGCCTCAAGTCAACAACAATGAAAAGTTAGAATGGAAGACTAAGCTATTGCTATCAGAGAGTTTCAATGGATAAGATTTACCTCATTTTGGAAATCCAAGTAGCTTTGAGAGCCATAAGATGGTAACATCTTTATAGCAACGTGCAAATGGCAAAGAACCCCTCTATAAACACTTCCATATCTTCCTTCTCCAATCTTCCAGGCTGGGTCAAAATTGTTAGTAGCCTCATTTACCTCCATGAAAGAGAATTCAAGGAGACCTGGCCTGCAAAAACTAGCAGCTTCTATTTTTACGGGTTTTTGTAACACATTAACCCTTCTTTTTGCATTTCCACATTCTATCCGCAGCTCATCCCGTTTTTGCTTAAAACTTATTAAAAGTTCCACAGCAGATATGATTTTCTCTTCTAGCTCCTTTGCCATACAATGAGACTCAGCAAGTTGGCTCTCAAGTAATGACTTCTGGCCCTTGACAATCTGCAGTTCTTTCACTACTTTATCATGCTGATTTTTCACTGTTTCTACTTCTTGCTGTTCTCTTGCCAGTAATTCTTCTAACTCTTTTCTTTGGCTCATCTCCTTCACAGATAAGCCTTGTGATGCTTCGACCTGCAAGATGGTAGGATGACCACAAGGTTGCTGGTAAGAAATGAGATTGATGTACTATATCTATCACAAGGTAATTAAGATCATACAAAACTCAAGTTCAAAATCAGGATTTTTTTTCCCCCTTCAATGTTCAAAATCAGGAGCAAAGTTTCAATCTGGTTTCCTGATAAACCCCAAAAAATGGTAGCAAATAGTTAATCAATTGATGGGCCAACTGAGGCACAGGCAAAGAGACTGACATTTTCCTGATCTCAGTAATGTTTATTTTGTTTCCATAGTTCAACCATTCAAAAACAGAGTTGAAAGTAAGTTTTTAGACATAAAATAAAAAACCCATCATCCTCTAAAAAAGCTAGCAATGAAAAGAGAAAAGAAAGTGAAATGTAAAGTTTGCCTCGCAGTTAGCCTCCACAGCTTCATCTTCCTCTTTCCATCGCTTGACTCTCTCTTCATATATTATCTGCTTTGATTTCTTAGCATCCATTTTGGCTTGTTCTAGTCTATAAGAAACTACACTAGTTGCTTGTCCTTGAGATTTATCTTCCTGAAAAACCCATGAGGCATGAACCATTACTAGTTTACAACTAAAAATAGTTTAAGACAATTGTCATGTCTTCAACATGTAAATATTCTGAAGATTTCAAATAGGTTCCAGTTGTATCCTTGTGGTTTTTATTTTTTTATTTCTTATGTACAATTCCACTACTAAGTACAAATAGATAAAATGGGCATGCATGATAGAGCTATCTTGGTACTGGTATTGCAAGTAATAGAGACCATCTCCTCTCACCTCATCTGTGAGCAATGGGGTTGATTTTGAAGTGCCAAACAAGCTGCTAGCATCCCAACTTGACTGTACTGAACAACAAGCAGTTTCTTCAAATTCAACGGCATCTTCCTCTGCATCTGCACAGCTCTGTATCAAAGTTATTCCTCTAGCATTCCTAGATATAGTTTGATACTCCCCACATGAGAGCCAAACTACAGATAATGTTTATAGCTCATTAATGGCAAAAACAACCAGAGTTAGTAAGCCTACCTGGAGAACTAAGTGTATGTATAAGGGAACGCAAGTTCAAGTGCTCTGATTGCTTTGTTTCTACTTCCCAATTCAACAACTGGAGTGCGGGGCCAATTTCTAGCTCCAAGCTATCTTCAGTACCTACCCTGTTTCTGTAGTGCTCCTCATGTAAGTGCAATGATGAGTTAAGATGACAAATTGAAATAAAAACACCATGGCTCTAGTGCCAAAAGTACTTGAGAAAAAACATAAGTTGACTTTAAATTAAACATGCATCAGAGTATTGAGATTGTCACAGCAAGAATTTGATGGATAATTTCTAGTAGGCTGTCAAACAAGAAGTGAGAAAGTCAAGAAGATATGAGCAATTTTCATTGTTCCAAGTGAGTAACCTTTTGGCATATTGTATGTAGTACATTATGCCTAGTGTTTCATGAATCCTTGTCCAGAAATATTATGTTCGATGCTTAGCAATTTTCTACGCAGAAACTGAAAAAGAAAGCCAAGATCAGTAATCGGAGGGGACCTCTAAAGTAGGTAGATAGTAGACTCTATGTTAGGGCTATCTGGAACTGGTTATTGTGAATGCTCATCAAAAGGACATCCAATTTTTTTTCAAATCATAAAGACAAGATCCTTATTCTCAGAGTCTGTAAATGCTATCAATCCTATTTGGTGATCCAGAACTTCCAATCCTGTGGTTGACAAGCAAGCTGTCAGTTATACAATCAGCCAAATTGTTCTAAAGAAAAAGAAATATACAAACAGGGGGCTGCCTAAGTCATAGGGTTGACACTAACATGATGAAGTTCAAACTTCAAACTGTCAAAAGTTTAAGATTTATATGTGCTCTGTCAAGGAGTCTGAATGTCAATAGAAGACAGCAGCTTTCGAGCTCTTATATATCACCTCTCACATGAGAGCATATCAAACCAACTGCATTATATAGCTATAGTGTCAACAGTACCTTGTGTAGATAAGGTGCCCCTTGCAAGCAAACCAGATATGGCAGGAAATTGGTGCTTGTTCGCATACAAAGATTGCTTTTTTGGACTTCAGTTCTGCCAGCTCCCTACAATCTCAATGTGCCTCAGTTAGTAAACATTAAACATGAAAGCAGACGCCTACCTAAGGAGGGAAAAAAAAATAACAGCACAACTATTTTAACTCTTCAGAGGCTTCGAGAGGAACTCATAGTTTCCATCACAATGAGATAGTGTACTAGAATGAAAATATTCATTTTTATTTGAATGTGTTTCAACGAATACTGAATAGTCCAAGCATCCATTAGTTCTTCTCATGGATTTTAAATATAGTCCTTTTTCCTTCTTTGTTGGACAATAATACGAAAACATGTTTGATAGTGGGTGTAGAGGACTGCTATCCCACACACCCATACCCAAGAGAATTAAGAGCAGCAACTGTGGTAAAATGGTCCGTACTTTGAATAGTATTTATCAGCTGCTGCCCCCATAACAAGCCATCTAATACTGTGACGCTCAATAACTTCTACAATCCCATTCTCAACGTTGTCCATCTCAATCCATAGGGTATCTCCCTGTACCTACAGAAACAAGCCATTGTATCAACACCAAACTAGATTACCAGATCACACCAATTCCATAATTTTTTAAACTCAAGTCTTCCAAAAGAGCTCCGAAGTGCAAAAGGGCACAGTTTTAAACGTCATATTCTTAAGGTATCGAATAATTTAATTAACAAGTAGCTTTAAATAGAAGACCGGATAATATGTAACAGTATAACCAACCGCTAGAAGCCTACAAATAATATCAAAATCATTATTCTTCTAATTTTGTTTTAGAATGCATAAAAATAAAATCCAGATCAAATACCGAGAAGAAACAATACCTTATATTGATTGAGAATAAGAAGATATTGATTTAGAATTTCTTGCACTTTTTGCCTTTCAAGTTCACGAGATGCCAGAACTGAATGCTGTTTCAGCTCATCGACGGTATAATTACTTTCCTCTGCAAATAATGCAACAAATTAATCAGAAAATTTCTAAAACTTAGAATATGATCAAAGTTTGTATAAGATCTAATTCGAAAATAGAAACTCAATTCGTTTTTTCTTTTCCGAAAGAAATTTAATATTGTTCATTTATTACTTTAATAAAACAAAACAGGAAACAAATAGTCCAAATAAATACAACAGGCTTGTTTATAAAATTCGCAAACCAGACAGAGGATAAAACAACAATTCACCCAATGCAACAACATGAGCAGGCTTGTGAACATGAAGCAAGCAAATCTTCTTCCCTAAAAAGCTCTGAGCCGCCCAAAATAGCGTCGTTTTACTCTTCTCAACATTCTTCCCCACCGCAACAAATATAGTCTCCTCCACATCCCATGCGACTCCCTCTCGCTCAATCTCGTCCGAACTCTCCATCCAAAAATGTAACTCTAAAAAGACGTGATGGAATCGCTCAGTGAGCCACTCAGTGCTCTGTGAGGACGTTACCGAGTTGAAAGAAACTAGAAAACAGAAAGAACGAGAAAGTACTGCGTTATTTAAGAGTTTTTGTATTTTAGAATTAATTAAGAAACTGTTAGTCTCTCCTACTTTTGACAAAAAGCATTTTTTCCTGAGCGTCCGATGAAGCTGATAAGTACTTCGTTTGAAAGCAAGAGGTATCATCTTCGTAGCGAAGTAATAAACTAGGTGATAATGGACTCAGCTACTGCCACGTGGTCTACTACCTTGGACCTTTTAGTTTTTGTTCAACAGTTTAATGTTTCTTTATTTATTTATGAGCTGATATATTGTATTAATTCAAGTCTTATAAACGGGAGTAATACCAAACCAATAATCATTTTTTATAAACTTTTTTTTATAATTATGAGATATTAGCTCACAATTAATTAATTAGTGAGATCTATACAAAATTTATTTCAAGTCTTATAAACATGATTAAGAGGTGATGTTGATTATGATGTCATTTATTAATGTTTTTTTAATATGATATACATATATATCGATTATATTTTTAAGACTAATTTCTGAATTAATACACTTTTATTTAGAGTAAACCACCTCTTTCCACACCAAGTTTGTCTTAATGACATTTTCTCATCTAAAAAGTTTCAAAATACCATTATCTCACCCAAAGTTTACATTTTATTAATATCCAAAATACACTTTACTTTTTCAACCGGTGTTCGGCAAGTTACCAAGAGTCAGGATAAGAGGGGTTTTGTACAGTAGAGATCGGTGGATCGAATGGTGGTAACCAATTGAATATTTACTGTCAAAATTAGTTAAAAATCAGCTAAAAACAGGAAATATTAGCTTTGCGGTGGTCGACAATCAGCGAGAAATCGGGTTTTAAAGTAGAAGAGGTTTTATAGAGAGGAGACCAGAGGTTCAAATGGTGGTAACGGAGAGAATTTTCACCGTTGAAATAGACAGAAATCCGCTTTGGGCAGTAAAGAAAAATTAACTTTAGGTGGAAAAATGATATTTTGAAACTTTTTGAGTGGGAAAGTCTCGTTAAGGCAAACTTTGGGTGGGAAAAAGTCGTTTACTCCTTTTATTTATTACAAATAAATAAAACTCTATTAATTCAAAAAATAAACTTTTTTAAAAAGTCAAATTAAAATATAACCAATTTCTAAATGGTTTTGTACCTTTCATAAGATAATAGAAATTTCTACCCTCTTTTTCAATACTTAATTACGTAAATATTATTTCCATGAAAAAAAAAAGCTCTTAATTTAAGATTGAAATGTCACGTATTATAGTTTTTGGGTTGATTTTTTTGCAAGAATTTGATATTAAAAAATATATGAAATGTCAAAAATATGTTTAGTGTATAAAAAAGCAAAAATAAAATAAAAAATAAAAAATAAAATTGTGTTTAATTTAAATTCGGTTAAAAATTCACGTCTCAAAAGAATTTATATAGTCCAATCACTCAAGCGGAGAATAAAATATTAACCTCGCTTGAGTAGACGTTTTTTAAATTTTATAGGGGATATATCAATATTTTCATATTGTCTATTATGTAAAATATCAAAATCACCGATATAAAATATTAATTGATCCACTCAAGCGAGATGAATTGATTATACACCACTCAGGCAATTGGACTCGAGCAACTTGAGTGATTCAAATCGAGGGACCCGAGTTTATTCAAATTTTCTGAATTTTTTTTTCCAATTTAAGTACAAAAAAGTGAGTTTTTCTTTTAATTTCCCCTGAATATGTAATGTTTATTTATATTAAATACATATGAACATGATATACACCATTAAGTATATAAATATAATACAAAAATATAAATCTAAAAACATTAGAGAGGAGAAAGAAAAATTAAATGAATTAAAGAAGAAGGGTAAAATTGTCAAAAAATTTATATTGAAGTGCTTATTTACAAAGACAATTAGAAAATAGTCGATTTTTTTTTTTTTTTTTTTTCTAATTTAAGTTTTAAAATAGATTTATATAAGTGATTATTTTTTTAACTAAATCAAACGTATCTTTATACGTGTAAGCTACTTTATAGTTTTACAGTTTGTTGTCTTGACTTTCGTTTTATTAGTGCTCTTTTTATAATAAATGATGGTGATGGAGATATTTGAATTTATGGATAAACTGAAATCCATATAAATTTATAGGGAGAAAGAAAATCTTTAATAAAATTGATAAATTAAAGAACCAAGTCGCCACTGAATCTATCCCACTCAAAACAAATGAACACGGCACCTCCTATTTTTCAAACCCTTCCAAAAAATAAAAGAATCTCTACTAAATTCCACTCAAATCTCTCCAAAAATGTCAAAGAAAATAAAGAAAAGAAGAAAGGAAACGGAAAGCAACGTAAGGAACTAGTATTTACCGTGAAAATTGTTGGAATCCTCGAAAGTATCTCCACTGCCATTGAAAAAAGTCGAAAAGGGGGAGAAAATGCGAAGAAAGAGAATGGAAGGCGAGACGAAATGAAGATGAACAGTCATCTCATCGATTTTATGGACAAAAGCTCGCAAACGATACACATGGCAGCCTTCGATTGGTTGCGAGACAAAGCGATTTTTTGTTTTCCCGCCCAAACAGAGGAGTGATCTCCACTGCACACGAGTCGCCAACCCACGCGCACTCGAAGGACATGACTGGATGTACGCGCCCAACACAATCGTTTGGCTAACCTGACCGAGTAGGCGTTTCTTACATACAAACTATTCATCTCCCATGGTCAAGCAAACACCTCTATAATACTTCACACCCAGTCAGTCGGTCCTCCCGACCAAACAGAATGATCAGACATATTATTTAACCCCGAGCCTTCGGCCCGTGACAAACTCTGCCAAGAAGTGACAAAGCACCCAATCACTCAGTCAACCCGACCGAGTGAGCCAGCCACGTGCTAGGGAGTGCACATGCACCTATTTATTCATATTCAACCAATCAGTCGAAGGTACCACCACTAGAATGACCCTAACGTATTCCACTCGGTGCGATACACCGAGTGTTGATACCTTCATGGGATGGTTCGCACATCCTCTCACTCGGTCCGATACACCGAGTAAGGACACCTTCATGGGATGGTTTACACAATCCTCTCACTCGGTTCGATACACCGAGTGCTGACACCTTCATGGGATAGTTTGCACATCCTTTCACTCGGTTCGATACACCGAGTGAGGACACCTTCATGGGATGGTTCGCACATCTTCTCACTCAGTTTGATACACCGAGTGAGGACACCTTTATGGGACATTTCGCACATTCTCTCACCCGGTTCAACATACTGAGTGAGGACACCTTTAGCAGATTCTTTCATGCTTTCCCTCAGTCCGAAGCACCAAGCAGGACCTATGCTTATTGCGCCTTTTACTCGCCCCAATACGTCAAGCGAAAATAAACTCGACCTACACCTCATACTCAGCACCTGGTCCAGCGCATCGAGTGGATCATTTATGATGGACTCCATTCTATATGCGGCCCCATGAACCAAAGAACTGTCGTCTACATTAATATTTGCCAAGTCAGAAGGCCAACTATAGACACCTTCACGCGACTATAACTACTCTCTTAGCCAAACACTCCTTAACTTAAAGAGTTGGGGGCAAACTGTTAGGGCCACAAAATGTCTTCGGTCTCAATAGGCCTAAGGGGAAGACACCTTCAACAAAGTTCGAAGTCGTGGCCCAATCTCGTTTGGCCCATGACATGGTTTGCATATTAGACCCACTCATTACACCTGCCATGTTGATCACTGCTTGAACCCAATCAATAAAAGCCCCCAATTCGTTTGGACCTCATCATCAGCTTGTCTGGGTTTAGGCCTCTACTTGGAGCCCAGGGTTGCCTACTTAACTATCCGAACTCTATCGAAGAGATCCATTAATATTCTAATTCGTTTAAGATCTGTATCTTAGACCCCCTGGGACTCTCTTTCCCACGAAGGTAAGGGAGTCAAAGACTCTTCTTTTTTACTAAACCTCAACTCCTAAGGACTCACAGTCCTACTAGGACTCGAAGATCCTACAACTGCTATTTAAACGAGAGGCCAGTCCTCTCACGGGCACAGAACATTACACCTTCTAACCCCGTAGCTCTCACTCTCGAGAGCTTTACTTTTCTGCCGTAGCCTTTGTCTCCGACTAAATTTCTGGTAAACCTTCTCTTTCCTTAACCCTCTCTAAATTAGCCTCACCCAGCTTTGCTGACTTGAGAGTCGGAGTGCCTACAGCAAACACCTCTTGGTGCTTTCTGTAAGCTTTACGCTTGTTTTCTTGTGTGCGTACGTGCAGTGGATTGCTGGTGGTCTCAACCTCAAGGGATCATACCTTATTTCTGTAACGGTAGATTTTTTGCATCTACAAGTATTACAAATACCCTATAAGATTATAGTTAATTACAATATAACCCAAAATATTCCTGTTTACGCCAATGAATATCAACCGTTTAAAGCATATTTGATTTAATGGTTCAAAATATGTTACAATAAACATAGTACCGTTTATTATAATAAAAGGAAATAAAATAATAAAAAATGCTACTATTTATTATTTTAAAAGTTAATGGACCAAGCAAACCTCCAATGACCACTCTTATCAACAATTGAGGAGAATCAAAATCATGATTTTTTTTAATAATACATTTAATAGTCTTTATCACACCACTCGACTACCTAAAGGTGGTTAAAACCTGCTTTGAAATCGAGAGAAAGTAAGAGCAACTTTAATATATATATATATATATATATATATAGGATTTTGTTGAATTAACTTATTATCCAAATTTTATCTTGATGCAAAAGTTTTGAATACAATTCAAGCTAAAGCACAATTTTTATCTTGAAACTTATATGAAACAATTTCATTAAATCACCATTTAAGACTCTGATTATCCAATTTGAATTGACCACTTTAGTGATATTTTCTTAAAACCATCCAAATGATGGGTGGACATACAAGAATGTGACAACATATATGAGATTAATCTCTGTAGGATATTCTCAGCAAATCAGCGTAACGATGTGATGAAACCGTCTTATCAATGTGTTTCTTATATACATACATAATCCCATACACATTTTAATCAGTAAAATCTTATGAAAGAAGCATCAAATTCAACCAAATGGCAAATACTACAGCAATTCCATAACTGGAAAATTAACCATTCTCAAAGCGTCCTCCAATGCCTAACCTCTCCAGAATAATAAGCCGGGCTCTCTTCAGAATTCTTCTGAAACTTAGAACACAGTACACAAAAGGCAAATACAAGAGGCATAATGGAAATTTGAACTGGACATTTAGTGCCTTGACGATATAAAACATATGTAATTGTGGTGAAAATACACTGGAAAATTGCAGAGAGTAATCCAATAATATCAGTGACAGAACCAAATGGCCTGTGCCTGTTTCCTGGAGATGAATAATAAAACCAAGGTATGATTTTCTGCCTCCATTTCCAAGCAACCCTTGCCTTAAGAGCTTGGTAAACTAGCTCAGTTATGCAAATAAGCAATGTGGCAAGAGACATCAACATGGCTGCAAGTAAATATTGATTTTTATGATTGGAAGAAAGCTGATCGAAAACGGCCGATGGAACCTCTAGGACAAAGTTTGTCACAACAAAGATCCGCTCTATAATGATCTATATGAACAAATTATTTTCTGGTTAGATTATAAATCAAGATCAACAAGCTACAAATATGTAACCAGATTCGTATCCTCTATTATGCTTCACTTTTAAAGATCTCACGACTTGTACAAAGAGTTTTAATTTTTATTAATGTAATGATCACACAGAAAAGATCTTGATCCATTTTTTCATTAGATTTACTATGCATAGGTGGAGTTTTCACAACATACTCCAAATTTGATGATAGTTTCATCAAGACGACAAGATGTCAACATGTTTTACAATAAAAATAAGAGTTAACGACTTTTTTCCGACAAAAAAAAAAAAGTTTAATAACACTTTTTTACCCTCGTACTTTTAAAATACCCATTTACTACTTAACTATTATGTTTCTCTCTATTTTGGGTGGAAAATACAGTATTTTACGGAAAAAAAAAAAAAAAAAAAACCTCTCTTTTCCTTCTCTTCTTAGCCTCTTCTATTGCCGACAATTGCTGCCAGTGTTGAGGAGTGCTGGCAACTAGAAAATCAACAAACAAACCACAAATACTGCAAATAAACATTCCTCAATCGTCTTTTAACCCAACAAACACAAAAATTGAACAACTTAAACCCTTTAATCGATCACAACTCGAAAAAGCCAAGGGTGGGGAAGCTTCAATCGTCGGCGATTGGTGAGCAAACAAGATCAATGATGTTGGGGCTTTTGGAGAGAAAGATCCAATGGGTCGATTGGTGGTGACAGAGACGATTTTCGATAACGAAATCGACCGGTTGGTTCGCAAGAATCTTTCATTTTTCTGGTTGATTCTGACATTGAAAATCCCTTTTGAGACCACCAATCAACTCACCGGCCCCTCATTTCCAAAACCCCCAACCTTCTTGATGCCAATTGCACGTCATTCATGGCTCTCCGCTGCCTAGGGTTTCATTGTTTTTGCACCAATTCCGCCTGATTCTAGCGGTAAAATCCAATCTTCCACCACACTTTCAACCTCCGATCTTCCCTATTCAAAACCCCTCAAACCTCGGTATTTGATTACTCACCATTCATCTATCATGAATTGCTGCCCTCCACTGTTTGCTATCTTCTGGAATTTTAATTTTTGATTTTAGATGCAAACTCACTTATAACAAACTTTTAACCATTTTGTCTTTCCTCACAACGAAAATTACTAATAAAATTGTGCTTTGGATACTAAAGTAGAATTTTAAAAATCTGAGAGTGAGAAAGTATCATTAAGCTTTTGCTCGGATGGGAAAAAATCATTAACTCTAAAATAAATTATTGAAGTTAAAGTACTGAACAACTCAAGTGTTGCGACAAGATCCTCCTCAAATTAAGCAATATGGTAATATTTCAAAAATTCAATGAAACTATCAAGGAAAGACTTCCCGGAGTCCACAAGTGTAGATATTCATTAAGATTTAGACTTGTTTGGCTAATTTTCTTCCATTTTCCTGCATTTTCTTTTATTCTCTTTTCCTGAATTCTATATAAATTAAACTAGAAAATTTCGTGAAGATCTTTCATACTCTTGCATGCATAAATATTACCAAAATTATCCCGAAAAATTGATGAAATAATCAACTGACCTGATTAGCGCGACGCTTTGCAGCAGCCTTGTGATAATCGTTGAGTATATGAATGGCGCATAGAGTACAGGTAGAAGCTGCTCTCCATCTCTTCTTCAGTGCCTTCTCAGTCTCAGGCGAGAGTTTTTCTTTCACTATCAAATTTTCTAGCAAATATCTCTTCATAACTACAAAGATCTTAACAATGTTTAATTCTTTTTCTTTAGTTTAAGATGAATAAGAAAATTTAGCTAGTTTTGTACTTAAACAGCCGGTCATCTGGGAGCTTTTTTCAACTACTTAAGAGAAGTAGAAAGTCTACCAAAGAAAATGTGGCCTGACTTCAGCCAAGAAAACACTGTTATGAGGTAATAAGGTCAAAGAATCCTATTAATCTTGGAAATAAAAAATATATGAATAAAATTTGAAGAGTAACGCTACATTCACAACCCTTTAACCACTTGAATTAACTATACCTAAGAGTGTTCGAATCCTAAGAGAAGTATCTACTACTAGGGGCGGATCCAGCCTAGTTCATGGCCCACCCTTAATTTTTTTTTTTAAAATAGTAATATGTATAATTTTTGGATTTTGGCCCACCCTAACAAAAATATTAATAAAAAAAATATTAATTTACAATTAGTTTTTATTTTGGTCCACCCTAACAAAAATTTTTGAATCCGTTACTGCCTACCACATTTGTATCTCTCCACATTGTGCAATTACCTTTAGGCTTGTAGGGTTCGGTTCACTCTGATATGATCTTCCATATTTGCGCAATTATCTTGATCTATTGGATTTGTGGGGTTAGAGATGACCTTTCACTTCGGTATGGATTTAATAATCTCAAATACCTTAAAAATAATAATAAATAAATCACCATCATATATATTGCTTACTAAATTTCATTGGCCTTTGGGCAAGGCCGGGCTTTTGAATTTTTTTTCAATATTATTACAAATACCCTATAAGATTGTAGTTAATTACAATATAACCCAAAATATTCCTAATTACGCCACTGAATAACAACCATTTAAAGCATATTTGATTTAATGGTTCAAAATATGTTATAATAAACATAGTACCGTTTATTATAATAAAAGGAAATAAAATAATAAAAAAATGCTACTTTTTTTTTTTTTTTTTTTTTTAAATTTCATTTTCATTGTTGTTCTTGTTGTCTTTAATGTAAAAAATAAAATAAAATTATCAAGGATATATCAATGTTCTGAAAACCGAACCGGACAATGACCCGTTCAAGGGTCCGATTTCCAGTTTAACCGGTTGGATCGGTCGGTTGGACCGTAATTTGTAAAAAAAAATTAGTCCCTGAAGGTTTGAAAAAAACCCCTATAATACTCCCTTAAGGTTTGAAATCTATCTAAAACACCCCTGTCGCATGAAGATTCTGGTGAGTGGTGGCGGCAGTGACGATCGATGGCCAATCGAAGCTGGGATCTTGGGGCTTTTGATGTGTTGGTTCCGACGACTCTGATGGTGGTGCTAGGGAGTTCCATTGGCATCGGAACTCGTCGGAATCAATAAAAGAAATCCGACATCGCGTGAACTTTAGGTGGACGGCGATTGACGTAGGCTGGATGACGGCGATTGAAAATGGATGGGTTTGGTCGTGGTGATGCCGTTCGTCGAACAGGGGTGTTTTCTCCGTCGAAAGATGCCGGAATCTGACGGGGTTTAGCTGCGATTGGACAGCGATTCGACACCATTCCGGCGGTCCAACCATAGTCCAATTCGGTTTAAATCAAAATAGCGGTTTTTTAGGGTTATCGAACCGGAATTGTCATCAGTTGCCGGTCGAACCGATCTGGTTTCCAGAACATTGGGATATATACGGTTGTGGAATAAAGAAGGTTCCTATTTGAGCAGCAGCCAAACAGCAAACATGACAAAATCAATCCTTGCATCTAAACAAGGGGGCCTTAAGATGACAAGTCCCGCGCCAAAGTGCAAAACTGGATAAGTCAAACACCAATCCCCCACCTGACTTTCCTCGGCTACTCCTTTGACTGGTAGATTTTGATTTTCAATTCATCTCTCTACTCAAATGAGGAATTCTAATCATTCTCTACTCTATGGACTATGGAAACCGCCAATGAAGCAACCCCTTCAGAACCCGAAATCAACGGCCCCGATCATCCGACCGATTCAATCGGCGGTTTAGATCCCTCGACCGCTCCCGAACTCTGCAATCATGCTCATCTTCTCGCCGAGTTGGAGTCTCTTCACCACGCTTTCCAGAGCCTCCAATCAAATTCTTCCACGCTGCAGGAGAAGCTGCTTCTCTTCCAGCATGAAAAAGACGAAGCAACGAGAATGATCGATGAATTATCGCGAGATAGAGACTCTCTCCGTGAAAAAATCGTTCAATTGGAGGCTTCTTTCAAGGAAAGAGAAGAAGAGTATGGGAGAAAGATTGATGAGGAATTGAAGGAGAAGGAAGAGTATGAGAGAAAGATTAACGAGGAATTGAAAGAGAAGGAAGAGTATGAGAGAAAGATTGACGAGGAATTGAAAGAGAAAGAAGAGATTAAATGTGAATTAGACATATCTAGAGAGAGAATCGAAGTTCTAGAATCTGAAAAGAAAGAAAGAGATGAGTTTTTGTTAAAGAACTTGGATTCAATCAAGTCAGTGAAGGAATGCTTAGTGAACATAATTGAATGTTTAGATGACGAGAAAGTGATTGAGAGAGAAGACACTGAGATGGAAGAATCGAAATTAGACCAAGAATCGAGGGCGTTTAGTGAAGAAATGACAGCAATTACAGTGCTAGCAAGCAAAGCAAGATCAAAAGTGAGTGAATATAAAGAATCAAAGAAGAAGGAAAAGAAGGAATTGGAAAACAGTGTAGTGAGTTTAACCGAAGAGAATCGCGACATAAACAGTTTGTTAAGGATAGCATTGGTGGAGAAAGAAGCAGTAGAGAAGAGTTTGAACAGGTTGAAAGGTAATAGTGATCAGAAGAGAGTGGCATTATTGCAAATTGCGGAGCGTGGGTTGCAAAGAGTAGGGTTTGGTTTCATGATGGGCAGTGGAAATAATGAGCAGTCACCAGAGAGTATGGGGGCTAATGTTGCCCCGCCAAGTAATAAATCTGATAGTAGCGAGTGTGAAGAGGAAGTTGTCAGTCTGGTATGTATGTTCAATTGCAACTTTTATTAACTTTGAATTTTAATGGTAGAAATATAATACTTGCACAATTTTGAAGTATTGAATCGCATATGCCTGAGTTCAATTAGGTTTTTGTATGATTTTGTTCCAGTGGTATCATCAATTTGGAAGAAAAAACATCAATTCTTTTGGTTGGTGTGAATTGGGTGTGTTTGTATTGTTGTGCCTGGATATATGTATATATATAGTCATGGATTCTTCAAGGATTACATGTCAAAGAAACTACCTTTTTGAATAGGTGGAGAATTATTGGTTTTAATTTGTGGTTGTCCTTACAGGCATCAACTGTAGAAAGGATAATGAAGAATCTAAGGCTTGAAATCACTCAATTGAGGAGATCTTTGGACGAATCTAGGTATTTCTTCATGGAATTGCGGCTCAATGTATTACATTACATATATGATTTTGTTGTGGAGTTAGTGAGGAAAATGATCATATAATTTGTATAATGGTCATTAATTATTGTTTCTTTGCCAGGTCAGATAATGAGCGACTGCAGAGTCTCACAGAGAAACAAGCTAAAACAATTGAAGAAAACATGTTGTATATCAAAGAGTTGGAAGATAGAGAGAGGGTGTTAGCTCAAAATGTAATTATCTGTTTTACCTAGAAATTAAGGATTCTGCATGCACATTTCTTAAGCATTTTGTTTTTTTCACTGCTGATTTCATACTTTTTGGCTTATTACTATAAGGTTGAGGAATTGCTATTGGAAATAAAAGTGACTGAAGAAGATGTTGCTAGATGGCGGGAAGCTTGTGAATTGGAAGTAGAAGCTGGGAAAACTGAGATTGAAGAACGTGACAAAGTGGTAAATAACTATGTTCAATATGAACTTTCTAAGACTAAGGTTGCTTTTCCTAATTAAGTAGTATTTTGAGATCTGCTTTTTATTGAGCTATTGTTCAGAGTTGATGCCATTACAGTGACGAATGAAGTGGTTGACATTGACAAGAGAACTAGTGATGGTATAATGTAATTTAAAAACATATAACCTGGTTAGCTTCTATGAAATAAGGAACAGAAAGTTAAGTGTTTGCTTTCTATGTGAGATATTATTCCTCTTGTTGTTGGTTTTCCTCTCTCTTGATTGTATTCTAATATTGAAGATCAAATGCTAAAAGCCTTGTTGTTTTGTTAGGTTCTGATTCTGAAGCAAGAGTTGGAGAAAACAAAGAATGCTTTAGAAATATCAAATGGCAAGTTAAAGTTGAAAGAAGAACTCGCAAGTGCTGCAATGACTGCCCAAGCAGCAGCAGAGAGGTCTCTGCAGCTGGCTGACAGCAGGGCTGCAGGACTTCGTGAGCGCATCGAGGAACTAACAAGACAATTAGAAGAAGCAGAGAGCAAAGAAAGAAGCCGCCGAAAGGTGAGACACATATGTTGGCCATGGCGAATCCTTAGATTGAACCCAACCAATAATTCCAACAATGTAAAACGGATGCTACCAGAAATGCAAGCCTTGCTTCATTCTAGCATATGAATATACCATTGTTTTCTCAAGGGCATCTAACTTCGTTCACATCTTGCCCTTTTGTTTCTTCATTTGTTTATTTATTATCTATCATTTTACAGATTTTGTTTATAAAATCAAAGATTAAAGCTTTACTGATTGTTAATAGGTGATATTGCACATCTTACAATCTTTAATCACGCAATCGTGCATCATTCCCCTTTACGTATTGGAACACTCCAATTATCCGACTGTTTTTTCTCCAAGAAGAATGGTTTATAAATAGAAAGTTAACGGAAACTTGAATCCTAAAATAGGAGTACTGACTTCTAAGAGGGGTTTGTCATAACATACTGCATTTGTTAATTATAAAAATCAAAATTAAAGGGTATTGAGATTGAAGGAAATTCTTTTCTGTATATCACAATACGAGATCAAGCCACAAGTGAAGTTCTACAACCCAACACACGACAAGGAAAAAGAAAAGAAGTAATACTACACCTACAATCTTTTTATACAAACTTTCTCTCACAAACTTATGTGGCAAAAAATGATTAGGTGAATGTTTATTTTAAATTTAAAATCATCCAATTATCTTTTGTCACATAAGTTTGTGAGAAAAAATTTGTATAAAAAGATTGTGGGTGTAGTATTATTGAAAAGAAAATAATAGATGAGTAGTAACTCACCATCTTGCTCCTACCAAATATTCTCTTTACACAAATATCAACAACCATAGTTAAAAAAGCTCTTCAATCCCCTTACTCATCATCCCCTTTATCTGAACATGAAATACAATAAATTTAGTTAAAAGTTCCGAACTAGAGTAGTGAGTTTGAAATAATAACAGTTTTACATGCAATGTTCTATAAAATGAATGGACCAGTTATCCAAAAGAAGAAAAAAGATTCTAAATCATTAATTTACAGTGTCTACCAAAAATTACCTGTTTGGCTGAAAGTCCAACGTCTTTCAAACCATCAAGCTGTGAAACAAAATACAGCACTTATTAACTTGATAAATCATCATATCAAATTAACTTTTCATGTTTTTAGATAACCAATAGATCAAATAGAAAATTCAGTAAATCAAAGAAAAGTCTAAAGTTTCTTCCTTACATTCTTAAAGGGTTCAGGAGATTTTTCACGAAGCTTAAGAATGCGGGTGGCTCTTTTCTGCTTAATTCCCTATATGATGCATTGGACTTTAGTACATTTGATATGATGATTGGTAACCAATCAACTCGATGTTATAATATTAAAATGTTCCTCACCTTTAGTTTTATCAAGTCTTCCCTGTTAACCAGAAAAAAAAAAATGTAGAAGATTAGTTAACTAAAAACACAGAACTTCGGGTAAGCTTAAATAACACAACTCATTGATATTAAAATGTTGCATAAGTATTTATGTCGTTTTCTTTTTCACTTTATAGCTAATGCTCAATAATAGAAATTTTAATCTCTCGGGGACTAATAATGGAGTTCTATTTCTATATCAATAAGTGAAAGGACTTTGTTTAACTTTACATAGAAACATTACTTACCTGCTACCAGTATTTAAAATCTTCAAATATTCTTTAACAAGAGAATCCTGCAACAAAGAAAACACAAAATGAAATTAACAAAGTGAAAACTAATATCAACTCAAATTTATATTAGGAAAGAAGGTAAGTGCAACCTACCTTCATTATAGAACTATGCATACTAATGGTTTCCCAAGGACTATTGATGTTTTCGGTCTCCCATTTGTCATTCACTGTAACACTCCTTTCAGGAGTTTTTGGTTCCACAAAATCAGTACAAGATTGAAAAATTGATGAAGTATCATTCCTCAGTGGCATCTCTAGGTGTTGTGGAGTTGAGGAAATAAGCAACTTCAAATTGTTAGATATTTGCTGCAACCGTTCACTAATTAGTGGTGAACCATCTTTATTGACTTGTGAATCATCGTTTTCCTTATCTAAGTTTCCACCTGTCACAAAATATACCAGAGAGAAAAGCATATTACACTTGCATATTCATTTACACGTATAACTGACCAGCTTTCAGAATTTACAAGGACATACTTTCTTCTAGGAAGGATGGTGTTTTCAAATTGCAATTGATGCTAGGAGTAACTTCCCCATAATTGCCTTCAATGTGCTGAAAAGAATCCTAGGAAAACCAAAAGAACATACTATAGGAAGAGGTATGAATCAAACAAATATTTTAACCACGAATAGAAATTAAATCACCTTATCTATTATGGTGGTTTCTTGCGGATTAGTGGTTGCTAACGGAGAAGCATCCTGAAGATAGAAAGACAATATTATTTTGAAATAAAGTTAGTTAATTGACATGAGATTATTCGACTATTAGTAAACAGGTTATTGCCTTTTCTACCACAGAAGTTGAATCTTTATCTGGCAGAGCAGCAGATATAGAACTTTCCTGGATAAAATTTCAATTGACACCAGTCAAAAAACTGCAAATGTTATCAAGAAAAAAGGAAATTGAATAAAAGGAGGTAAAAGTGATCCTATCAAATTTACTTTTCTTATGGCAATATTTGAGGTACTCTAGGAAAACCAAAAGAAGATACTATAGGAAGAGGTATGAATTAGACAAATATTTTAAACACAAAGAGAAGTTAAATCACCTTATCTATTATGGTGGTTTCTTGTGGATTAGTTGTTGCTAATGGAGAAGCATCCTGAATGAAAAAAAAACAATGTTAATTTGAAACAAAGTAAATTGACATGAGATTATTCAAATATTACTAAATAGGTTATTGCCTTTTCAACCATGGAAGTTGAATCTCTATCTGGTAGAGCAACAGATACAGAACTTTCCTACATAAAAATTCAATTTGACACTAGTCAAACAACTACAAATGTTATCAAGAAAAAATGCAATTGAGTAAAAGAAGGGAAAAGTTATCCTATCAAATTTACTTTTCTTATGGCAATATTTGAAGTGCACTTAAAAATAAAAGGTTACTTGATTTCAATCCAAATGTATTCTTAGAAAGTGTCATCATTTATTTATTTGAAATTGACTGCATAATTTTAAGCCTCGTGATTAAGAATAAAGAATAATGTTATTATCTAAATGTCTATTAATTCCCACGTAGTAGCGATCAAAACTAGGAATTGTGATGCATTACTAAACATTTACAAAGAAAAAGGTAGATTTCCTTTCATTTTTCAGATATAGTAACAAAGGAGATAAGTCAAACAAATTGGTGTACATTAGCAAGAGAATGTTCAATGTTCCTAAAAATTTGGTCCAACATCTATGCTACTACCTAGATTTTCCGTTCCTCTATTTCTTTTGCCAAACAAGGTTACCATAAATGTGATTTCTAGATACCTCTAATGCAGTAAGAAAGTAGGTACCTTCTCATATATCTTTTTCTCAGAATTAGTCAAATGACTTGCTTCATCAAACAGTTTCCTTCAAGCAGAAAAAGAAATGGGAAAAAAGAAGTTTATTATATGTGAGCATATATAGAGGAAGAAGGAGAGATGTGCTTAGCTTAAGAAGGACTGTTCTCTAAGTACCTTCCTTTCGTCACAGAAGCTGTACCATTGGCTTTCTTTACGGAAAAATGTAGTCGGTTCCCAATTTGTTTCCTAGTGGTAGAAACACTCCCAGGTAACTGACTTTTGTGTGAAGAATGCGGCATTGGCCTTGCTGAACTTTTGGCTTTCTTTATGGAATCTAAGACAGTCTGATTAATGCCTTGGCGAGACCGAGATGCTAAACTCACCATGTACATGGAATCTTGGCAGAAGGTTGGATTCTACATTCGGAAATGACAAAAAACTAAAGCAAATGAAACTAGGAATCTACTGTAAAAGCAGGATCTTCATAGAGGACAACCAGAAAACAGTTCATTCAACTATTTACCCAAAACCTTCATGAAGGAAAACCAGAAACCTAATAGCCTTACCAAACAAGTGAGCATCAGAACTCTGCTTTTTCCTCCTAGCGAATCTTGCAACATGCGGGTGAGCTTGCTTTCCCGATAAGGCACATGGCATTCACTGGTATTCAAAGCATAAACAACATTGTGTAATGCATATATGGACCTATTAACTTTAGTTTTCTCAACAAGATTAAGGCCTTCACTACTCTTCCTTCGAGTATCCTCATAACCTGATAAATCAAGCATCAAGAAGGGATGAAAAGTAAATACTTATCCCTGCTAGAGGAAATGCTGAAAAATATAGCTCATTATTATGCTGAAGAAACTTATCAGAACCTGCCAAGTCAACAAAATTCATCTTGCCCATAGGAATGGCATCTGATGGAGATGATACATGTATTATTAAGCCTCTGTGGCTTCGTCGGGGAAACTCTATTGGTATCTTCTGAACTGGTTTACGTGATTTATGCTCAATAAGATATAGTTTTTGAAACTCTGATATGGAATTCACAGGAACCTGAAATCAAGTTAAACGGATGGTCACAGGAGATGCAATAATGAAATTTAGTCTGCCTTACAACTTTTTTCAACCCAATTAACTGATAATAATACCTGAGAAAGTCCTTTGAGTAGAATTTTGCCTTGACGATTTTCCAAAGCCAAAACTTCTTGCCGTTTTGGATCTAAGAGATCATACACATGAGCTTGAAAAATCTCATAAAATGATATAGTAATTGATTTTCCTGTTTCCCCAACAATTGATAAAATTTCAGCCATGGCTAGTACTGCCAAACCTGGATCCTTATCAGAACCCTTCACAATCAAATGGTTCCATATATAAGTATTTATCATGCCTATATGTAAAAGGTCAAACTAGGAAGGATTGGAATACAACCTGAATCATATGAGTCTTTCCACTGCCTCTAGCTCCATTAGCAATAATAGTCGCATTGCAACCATAAAAAACTCCAGCTATTAGAGGCTTGACTTCTCTTGTAAAAATTGTATAATTGCCTTCACTTTGTTCGTAGCAATAATCCAATTCATACGACTCTTTACGGCTACAAGAAGAAGTAACTAATCTTTATTTTCCAAAAACTCACTAAAATAGAACAAGAAAATACAATTCCTCTGTTAAATCTAGTCCATTGCAAAGCACAATTCTTAGTCAAAGTGTTTTTTCAAGTAGTTTGATGATTACAAGAGCATAAAACACATAAATTGAGAAAGTGTGACGTCTTGGTCTCCGGTTTGAAATCCTAAGAAGAAAAATTTTGAATACAGAACTCAATTAAGCCAAGTAATAGTTATGACCAGCCGAAGAAAGGTCATAGTTCACAAAATGGCCTGACAGGACAGCCACAAATAATTTCCCTTCCCTCTACTACATGTTTCACACATACAAACTTTTGCATCTTTCTCACAAACAAACTTTCGGCTAAAACAGGAAAAAGAAAATTGAGAATACATAGAACGTTAACCTATGAAACAAACAAAAAACATTTTGAGTTCAACCAAATAGAAAATAAACTTATTGTTTCCCTAATTTTCTATGTAACAACTGATAAAAGCCATTATTCAGTAATTCAAGTTAATTTCCTTTTATCAATGTCGAAAAGAATGTTGTAGTTTCTTTGTAATCTAACTTTTTATTGCATAAATCAAGAATCAAGCCATGATGTACCTGCCCGATTGGTCACCAAAGGAAATGGAGACGGTCTCAGATTCAACTCCATTAGGCTTGTGAACAGACACACAATTTGAAGATTCAGCTTCTAGATCTGTGAATCCCCTAACCTTTGCGATTACTCTGACCTTTTTACCGTGACTGAGCCCCGTTTTAGCCTTCGTTCGGTCTGGTCTTGGTGTATCCATGGAATTCAGCGAGTGAAACACTAAAGATTTGTTCAAGAGAAGCTCAGTCGGTGAAACACTGATGGAAAGAAAAAAGAAGACAGAGAAATAGAGAAATAGCCAGAAATGGAAAATGAATGAGAGAAATAGCCGTTAGGTGGTTTTGGTTTTCAAATTTTGGTTATCGCGCTCCTCTGTTGCTTGCATATTTAATATTATGCCATAAATTCAGGGGCATTTTAGAAAAAAAAAAACATATTTGGGCATTATCATCTACGTGGCACTTCTAAAAAGTGCACTGCATATTACAATAATTTAATAATTTTCTTTTAATTTCATATTATTAAGTTTAATTTGAATGAAAATGTTTAGTATAAAGCTGCTCGTTCTCTGCCCTAAATTGAGTTGACTCGGAAACCAGAGTTAGAGAAGATGGAGGAGAATTCAGAGAGTAAGAATGTGAAGAAGATTATGTCGGCGTGTGATGTTGAAGCTCTGAAGAAATGTTTAGAAGAAAATAAAGGGGACTACATCAAATGCCAATCACAGATAGAGGCTTTCAAGTCTTCTTGTTCTTTAAAAAAACCAAACTCCTCCATGGAATCTAAGCAAAAGCTCTAACTCTGGTGCGATTTCTTATCTATTAGAAGACCTTTTATCATTTTGGGTGAAACCCATTTTCGTACTTGCTTTATAATACATATATGAATCAATAAGATTTGTAAACTTCAGGCCCTCAAGGTTTTATAAGTAGTTTGATTTAAGTTCCAGTCTCGATACCTGTCCTTTATTTTTGTTTCTTAATTTTTCGGATTGTATCAGAAGTAATAGAAATGTTTTTATAAAATCACCATGTATTATGTTGTATTATTGATTTCGGAAGCATTGTGTGGTAATTTTGTATCATGAAGTAGTATTATGAGAGGAAATAGAAAATAAAATAGGGGAATTGCAATATATCTACGATGGATTGGAGGTGAATGCTTAAGTTTATAAGAGTTGGTTTCCTTGAAGCCAATTCACAAAAGCACTTGGCATCCTGAAGATTTTTTGCATAGTTTTTTTTTTTTTGGTGACCGAGAGTGTTTGGTCAATTTGTGCGTACCTCAACTAATCTCTCAAGGTCTTGAAGATAACGACCTGATAAACCTCTAGCGGCCACCTCTATTAGAAGCTAAGGTAGATCGAATTCAGGATCTCTTGAGTAATACATGCAAGAGTCATAATTCATCGCTCGGCCAGCTAGTGGTGGTTAGGTTTGTGGTTCTTCCATTGCTTCCTTAATTTGAAAATTGATGGCTCTGGCAAGTGGGAATTAACTCCTTTAATACAGTCCATGGTTCACACTATGAAAAGACATGGAGGGAATTCGGATAGCATCTGAGTTGAGGAAGTCCACTTAGTGATGGAGACCAGATGATGGATACTTGAATGCTACTGCAGGGACGTCCGAAGAAATGATAAAGAGGGCTGGATTTGCGATAGACACAAACCGACTGTGGGATTCACTCTTCACATATGAGCCAGAGAACACTGCTACTCCTAATTTTCAAAGATTTAATCCAAATACACGAAGTTTTCAGATTCCTGGATATCAATTCCAGACAGACTATCAATGCCAGAAGTGGACTGAAATTAGAGAAGGCCAATAGAAGTTTTCTTATTCTTTACACACTAAATATCAAAAAAAGCTCGGTGCATCTTAGACATTCCTCTTCAAAGAAATATTCACATTGGATATTTCCCTTTTCTTTGAACATCCATAATTCAGATTAAGTTAAAGACTACAGCCTACACTATCAATGACATCTTGAGCTACAAAAAACTCTCAGAAGGCTGGTATGGATCAATCACTAACCAATGCCACATTATGGGCACTGGAAAATTATATAAATTAAAGATTACCAGTCAGCATGCGCTACAACTCTTCCTACATGTCCCATAATAATCAGGCGAGCCAATCATGAAGACAGGATTCCTTTGGCATTCCCCTATGGCAGCCCAATGAGGACAATCTTCATCTTCATCAGTGCATTCATCACCATCTGATTCAATTGAAACTTTTTCTTTATTTACATCTCTTACTTGGAAGAATTTGGCCGCACACCACATTTGCCCCTCAAGTACAGGGCATCTGGCATGGGAGCTACTCTCATCGCGGGATGCATTGGGATGTAGAGTGAAAAACAAAATTGCGTTTCCTTTAATAGGTCGTTGGACATCGCTAACTTTTGTGCAATCTGACCACATCTTGTTCTTCACCTGAGACAGATTGAGACTGTGTTTGTTAATCAAAGTTGAATTAACCCTAACCCCATTACAATAATAAAAGAACATTAAGGTGGTTTCTCTCTCACCGTTGAATCAGGGAACAGAATCTCGCCACCCTGTGTGACGTTAGAAAGATACAAAATAACTGTTGCCATCAAACGCTCACTTAAACCTAGTTTGGATTTGTTACCAAAATAATCTAATTTCTGTTTGTCCTCTTCAAGCCCATAGCGCATAACCTGTAGAGGCTTACTGTTCTCTGAAGGACAATGAACATCATATTAACACAAATCTCAAAGCAGAAATGGACCTTTAGAAGATAAGGACCAGGTATAAGAAGAATACCTTTGGGAAGGAAAGTCCACGCTGAAATTCTTTCCTCAATCCTTGCAACAATATTATCCTAGAATAAACAAATATTATTGGCAGTGTTATCAAAAAGATAAACATACATGTATTATTGGCAGTATGACAAGTATTCAGGAAACATGAGATTGAATATTAATGCCCTTCTTTAATTTTTGGTGAGCCAAGTAACTGTTAGCATAGCTTTTCTATGTAAGGTTATAAGTTATAACCAAATCTATGACTCACATTTTTTAAACCAGTATAAAAAGATATTTGGATTGAAATATAGAGGTCAAATCTACCTGCAATACTTAGTTTCCACTACAAATTCATGGCAATGAAGACAATAAAAGAAAAATTATCAAAGAAGTCATGCACCTCGACCCTAGTAGAAAATAATCATGTTAAATTGAATAATTGAGAAAAGCTAAAACTATGAATGAGAAAGAAATGTCACTATTGGCAAAAGAATAGCTTCAGAAGAATTTCAAAATAACAATTGATCAAACTACAGCTCATCAGCCTAAGTGTGAACTTCAAACTGGGAAGAGAACCTTAATCTTAAACAGGAGAAAAAATAAATAAATAAAAGTATAAAAACCATGGACGCGGCTAGGGACGGAGGCAGGGGGGATCAAGGAGGGTCAGTTGACCCTCCTTAAGTTTTAAAATATTTTGATAAGTTTTATAAATTTGCCTCTAAATGAAAAGTAAATTACGAAAGAACTCCAATTCATCAAATAAGTTAAACTTTCTTTTTTTTTTGGGCTGTCAAATGTAAACCCCTCTCTCAAACTCATTCTTTCTCTATTGCCCATAATTGATTCAATAACCTAGGTTTCAAATTTTTTCTACATTTCTAATTCTTTATCCACACAAATACAGTTTTCTCCCACCTATCAAGCCGACAAGCCCTTTTTTTCTTCAATTTGTGCTTATTTTAATTTAAAATTGTATTATTCTTCTAACTTTGACCCCCTTACATTTCATTTATAGCTACGTCTCTGGATGTGGCAGCACCATACACGATGGAAACTACAATTTGGGAGAGAAAACAAAAGAAAAAACCATGTTCTCAGGAAATTGTAATCATATGAACTCCCATTTCATTTCCAAATACCCAATTCACAGAATAATCATAGCTTTTATCAAATAGAGATGTCAACAAAACATGAAAACTCACTTCTGTAGTTAATTGAGTTTGGTTCACGAAAACATTATCCGAATGAAGTCCCGTTCCCAACTTCTTTTCTCCAGCTCCAAGCGCCTATGTCCAAAAACAAACATTTTAAACCAGTCCAGATACAACTAATATTCTAAAGAATAGGGCAGGAATCTACCAGAGAAATAAGGTGGTCACACTCCTCATCCGATAGAAAACCGCTATACAGATAGACCCTATTGCAAGAAACATAATGTCAAATTTTTAACATTAACAAGCCTGTGAACCCATAATATAGCGGCATACATATTCCAAGTTGGTTGTATAGCCAAGAAAACTTAGATTTGATAAAATGCTGTTTAAGATGGCAAACTTTATAGGGAAAAAAAAAATTGTTTTTGATTTTTCTTCTGCAGATAGAATAATTGAGCATCTTATCATGAAAGCATCATGACATTACACAGCAAGAGAATAAAAAAAGTAAACCCAAGTACCTGACCTTGGTTGCCATGAGAGTTGGACAACTCGTGATGGATCAATTTTGTTTTCTTTGATTGAATGAAGTAATTTTATAACATTTCCCTTGTAGGTTTCTTTATCCCTCAATTCCTTCCTGCCACTGAAACCAAAAACCAAAAAAAAAAAAAAAATTGGCAAAGATAATACATTACAAACAGTTAGCAACATTCACTCAGCAACCCATATTAACAAATATCTCAAAAAAAGATTCACAATCTAAAACCCAATACACAAAACTCAGTTACAAGAATTGGCTGAGACGCCATTTATACAAGGAAAAACACTCAAAATTCAAAGGGGCAAGAAATTTCTCTTACATCAAATCCCATTTTACTCGCATCCTCGACATCAAATTAAGAAAATTATTCGTAGGACAAAGACAAACTTCAATTAAGAGAAAGCATTTTAACAAAATCCCAGATCAAGAACACCATGAAACCCCATCTACATCCAGAGCTGGTCTTCCGTGAAAAATTAATGAATTGCAATTTCTTAGACTTCGAAAGTATAAACACGGCAACTAAACATAAGATGGTTTGTCATTTACCTTTCCGACGAACAGCAAAAGAAACGAGAGGTAAAAGCCAAAAGAAGAAATATGGAACGAAGGGAAGCCATTGATTGATAATTGATTAATAAATAAAACAAAAAACGATCGAAGATCGAAGCGAGCACACTTTCCCAACAGAAGGAGTTTCTTTCTTTAATGGTGAGTACTTTTTTATCTCTTTCTAAATCCCCATGCTGTATTCAGTGGTACCTTGTAGTTTAACCGTAATGTACTACTGCTTCTAGCAAGCCAAACTGAAAACGTTTGTTTTTCCTTCTTCTACCCCAAGCTGTAAATGATTTGCCTTTAATGACACTTTCCCCCCTAAAGTTAATATTATGTTAATAACCAAAGTTTCAAAGCCGATTTCGACAGCAAAAACTCTCTCCGTCATCAGTCTACCATTTAAACTTTCAGTCTCCTCTCTACAAAACTCCTCTCACTTTAGCACCTGATTTCTCATCAATTACCGACCACCACAAAGCTAGAGTTTACTGTTCTTATCTGATTTTTGACAATGAATATTCAATCGGTCACTACCATTCAATCCATCGACCTCTACTCTTCAAAACCCCTCTTACTCTGGCTCCTAGTAACTCGTTGAACGCTGAATGAGAAAGTGAAGTGTATTTTGGGTATTAACGGAATATAAAATTTTGGTGAAAAGTGGTATTTTGAAATTTTTTGGGTAAGAATGTCATTAGAGCAAACCTTGGGTGGGAAAAAGTCATTTACTCAATCATAATGTTATTTCTAGTAGGTTGTAAATTAATTAAAAGGGCAAAAAAGGGCATATTTAATTGTTTATTTCTTAGCTAGATCTGCAATTTCATTATTGATAAGATTAAGATAAAATTCTAACTAATAATTCAAAATTTTTATTTATGAAAAAAGTTTGAAAATTTTATGAATTTTATAACTATTTCCATGAGGTAATTACTGTAGTGTAAATCCATCATCTTCTCCACTTTATCTTTATTATACAGTTTATACTTCAAATGATACGGCATTAATTATACATTTTTATATTTCTAGCATATTATTACATGATTTTCCAGTGACCTTAAATCAATATCGCATTGAGAAATAAACTCTATACGATTAGCATTTTCTTATTGTTGCAAACAATTTCTTCCATTTACATTTGTTAATAATAAGATTTCATAACAGTAACATCATTCCAAGATTCAGTAGTATGGATACTGGCCTTTCTGTTTTTTTTTTTTTTTTCTTGTTTCCAGGTACTCAATGTTCACTATTTTCTGCCTCTGTTCATCCCTTCCTTTACTGCACCATAAAGAAAAGCATCATTATTTATTAAATGGGCATGAAGTACAAACGAACAAATGAATTTATCTGTAGTTCTCAAATAATAATGTCATCAATCATCCCTATGAGATTTTTTGAATATCATGTGACCAGATTCATCCTTCTCAAAAAGACGCTCGATCAATTCATCCCAATTTTCTTTTGGCTTGCTCTTTGTAGATGATGAAAAAGATGTTTTGCCGCTGGATCCATGTGAGCTATCGCCTTCCTCTTCATCGAAAGTTCCATACTGAGAAGGCGCAAAAGCATGTGGCACTGCCAGCGTAACAGCTCTCTGCAGAGCTGCCTTGTACTCTTGAGTGTGTTCTTTATGCAAAGTCTCCTGCCTCTCCATCTTTTGCTTCTCTGGTATTTCCATGACATGATCTTTCTCTAACATTATCTGTGGTTTCAGAAAGAAACGCCAAGCTTCACTATGACATTTGTGATTTTAGTTCAAAATGACAATTGCATAAGAGCTAACAGGCGGCACCAGATTCCTCATAAGTATGAAAAGAAAAAACTAGTATTTGAAACCCAGTTTCCTCAAAAAGTAGTATGAAATGCAAGCAACGTACACAATATGCATCTCTTATTGAGGCATGGGTCCTTTTGGGTATACCGAAACCCCAGAAAAGAAAATTACTTGTAAACATCTTTTACCACATTGAGGAAAGCAAATATGTAAAGGTATTGTCACAGATGAATAAAAGAAAGTTAACCACTCAAATCAGTTCAATGAAACCCTTGAAAGAGTTGCCGACAAGTTAAAACAAATCTTAACTTGAAAAGTTGGCTTTTAACCATCACTATAAAGATAACGAGATTGAAAAACTTACATCCAGAGCCCTTCGAGCTTCTTTTTCTATCCAAATGATGGCATGATCAGATGTGGCATTACAAGAAAGAACTATGTGTTCAAACCTCCCGTCCACTGGGACTGCTGTCCTTACAACAGGGGGAAATCTTCCCAGTCTGCAAACAAATTATGCAATCATATGTACATTCAGTGGTCAAAGCTCAACTTCTTTTCTCCTGCCTCAGAATTGATCAACATATCTATTTGATAAACAAGCTATGACATGGATAGAAGCAACTAACTTACGGCATTTACAAGAGACAGCGATAATGATATATTACATGTATAAGAAAAAGAAACTGCAATACATGATTCAATGTAAACTTGAATGTGAGCAGCAACCTTGCAGGGTGTCTCTGATAAAAAAAAAGTACCCATCATTTAAGAGGAAGAGAGACAGAACTATGCTTTAATGCCTGTTCTGTTAATTATACCTGAAGGGCTTTCTCTCAACAATGTGATACAAGCGACCAGGTGCATACAGTCTCCTTGGATCTTTAAGCATTTTCTCTTCAGGTATACATGTATCCCTCATGCACCTTAGGCATAGTATGCATGGCAAGCTATTCATAAAGAAGAACTTTGTTAATATGTTTAACCAACACCAGAGTATCAATAGGCAATATTTCATGTTCTTGAAATGTCCAATAAACACTTGATATTTTCTTAGAGATCAACATGGACATTTGCTTAAACAAGTAAAAGATGTTTGCTCAACAAACTTCCTTTTGTCCAACGGCTCATTCCAATTTAGTCCTTTCAAAACATTAAAATCAAGGGCTTTTTTTTTTTTTTTTTTTAAGAAAAATAGCATTACTACTGACTCATTTGGATTAAATAGTCAACAATATTGCCAGCACAACCAGTATCAAAAACAAAAGCAGATTAGCCGTTAAACAAATAAAAAAAACAATAAAGTTTAATATACCAGAAAAGTGATTTGAAAATGTCTTCCAGAGGCGTGGCTGTTCTGGGCAAGAAGTCATCCTGAATCAGTATAATAATCAAAATTAAACATGTAGATTAAACTGGAAGACAATTAAAGTAAACTATCCTTATTTTCTAAATTTATTTATAATATCTACTGCAAAATGTGGCATCAGAGATTCTATGATCAATAGCAAAAATACACAACCAAACATAGTATAACTCACAAGTGACAAGGACTTTAGTTATGTTGCAGACACATGAAATATATGTATTTGCTTGTTTCTTGCTCTAATTTGCAATAATTTTTTAATTTATTTAGTCAGTGGTTCTCATCCCAGCAGATTCATCTAAATTTTTTAGATATAGGCCAAATCAAAATTAATGGCAAGCTTCATTGTCACGTATCAATTAACTTCAAATGGCCTTTCAAAAAGTATTGCCTGAAATGAGCACACAAAACTTTATCATCTACAACTTGTGGGAAAAAATTTCATTTCTTCAAGATGCAGAAACTTAAGTTTCTGCCAGAAATCTAGGGATGCTCAGCCAGTGCAACAATAAATAAGAAACACATGCATGAAATGTGTCTTTTGACAAATCCAATAAATTTTTATCTGCATCAGATGTTCTGCTGATAAAACCCTAGAATAATTGGATGCAAGCTCTCCATGAAAAAAAAAAATCCTCTCTAGACACAAAATTGATGTTGTGTTGACATAAATAGTCATGAGGCACCATTTTGATCATGTTGTAATTATACAAGGCATCTGGCATTGAAGATGTTTGCAGCAGCCATCAAGAGCTGTGCTCCTCTATCACACATATCTATTATCTTACCCATAACAAAATACCTTAGCAACCCCAACAAACAGATACCCCGAAAAGGTGATGTTGTGTTGACATAAATAGTCATGAGGCACCATTTTGATCATGTTATAATTATACAAGGCATCTGGCATTGAAGATGTTTGCAGCAGCCATCAAGAGCTGTGCTCCTCTATCACACATATCTATTATCTTACCCATAACAAAATACCTTAGCAACCCCAACAAACAGATACCCCGAAAAGGTGATGTTGTGTTGACATAAATAGTCATGAGGCACCATTTTGATCATGTTATAATTATACAAGGCATCTGGGATTGAAGATGTTTGCAGCAGCCATCCAGAACTGTGCTCCTCTATCACACATATCTACTATCTTACCCATAACAAAATACCTTAGCAACCCCAACAAACAGATACCCCAAAGAGGATTAAAGTGAATACTATTAGCAACACCAACAAACAGAAACAATATAATGGGATGCACCTTTAAAAGTTTTTCTTTTCCAGAAAAGCCTAAAATCATGTCATACAATAAAAGATAGAACTCTGTAACGCAGAAAAAGATCTAGATGCAATTCTAAAATTCTTCCTCCCGAAAACAAAATCACCAAACATGAAAAAGACTTGGAACTTGCCTGAAGTACAACAGAATTGATAACATCTGCATATCTGACTGCCAAATTCAGTGACATACACCTGGCAGGTGCAATAGCATAGCACCTGATCCTCTTTCTTTCAATGTTGCTCAACTTATCCCTATTTTGCACCACCACTAACGCCAGCATTGCTGCCACACCTGATCCAAGTGAATGTCCGGTGAAAGTCAACGTATATTTTGGATACTTCTCCACCAATTCCTTCAAAATCTCACACTCTGCATCCAAAACCCACCCAGCAGCCTTCAGTAGTCCATTATGGACGTACCCACCATCAAACTTCCTTTGCCCTAGCTTATTATCCAAAAGCACTTGATAGTCACTCTCCTTAGCCAAATTAAGACCCCTGATGGCAAGCACTATATCTGAATGAACATGATCAAGATATAATGTATAGGGAGGCGCCCGTCCTCGAGTGTCTTCATAAGTTTTTTTTAGCAATAACCAATCTGGGTTAATTCCATATCCTCCAGGGGGCTCCCAAAGCGGATGCCTAAGATCATCTTCATAGACAGCTAGGATATAGCGGCATAGGCGAGGAACAGGCTCAAATTCTTCAGCAGTTGCAACCCCCCAAGTTTCACTGTCATGGCCAGCCGTGTGGAGACATCGCTTCCATGCCCACCGGGCACATGCCAGGCAATACACACACTCAAGGAGAGGGAAGCCACATAAAATTGACATTGATGCCTATAAGTATACTAACATATATCAAACACGATAAATTCTGCATTTTAATGGCAAAAAACTAGGGAAAATACAACCAAGAGAAAGAAAACAAGTTGGAAATCTCGATATGGGCCAAGATTCCCACTTTGAAAAATCAATGAAGTAGTTACATCAAAAATTCAAACTTTCTTTGAAAGTAAGAAACAATAATTCAAATGGGCGGTGGCAGCAATGCAATTCTGTGATTAGCAGGAAAAAGAAAATGACCCTGCAATGTTTTCGGTAATTTTTTAAGTATAAATCAAGACTTGAGTGAACAATGAACAATGTTTAGTTATGAGTAACAAATCCACAGAGTATAGGCACCCAAATTTAATCAATACAACAACTGACGGGAACAGAAACACAATAAATAAATAAGGAATAGTGTGAACAGAAAAAATAACAGCTTCTATAAGAAGTATCAAGTTGAAGAATCTAACGTAGAATCAACTGTCAAGGCACCACCCACCAGACATCAAAATTGAATATTAATGAAAACCCAGATACTGATTCTCGCAAGATGGAGTAAGTTATGAAACTGATGATCAAATCTCCAGCATTCAAGTGTACAAAATTTATCAAAGAAAAACCTCTGAAAGTTTCAAACCTTGAGCTAGGAGTTTCATGGTGACTGCAAGTGATTAAGACATCAACTTTAAACTAAATGAAACACAGCACATGGAAGAGATGTTACAGAATCAATGCTGAGTTGTGTAGAATTAAAAATTTTAAAAATAAATCAAATTATGAACCAGAAAAAAACAGGGCACCTACAAGTCAAAGCCAAAATTGAGGTGGGTGTTGAAACGTGAAAGAAGATTATTGGCCATCACTGTGAGTGGCGTCAGTGTAAATTTGTTGCTGTTGTAGTGATAATTTAGTCATTAAGAAGCAGCAGAGACGATGCATGTGCTCTATATTTGGACCGTTGATAACTTCATTCAGTAAAAAGTTTTGAAACTTCCGGTAAAAGCTAGATCAATAATTGGCATAAAATTTTCTATTTTCTATAATACAATAACAGAGGAAGAGCCCGGGCTGCCTATTTTGTGTTTAAGGATTATTTGATATAGGGTTGCTCAAAAAATGCAAAAATCGAATTGAACTGAAAAACTGGTTAATCAAAAAAATGGTTCGGTTACGGTTTAAAGAATTCAAAAAACCAGATTTTAAGTTCGGTTTTCGGTTCGGGTAAAAATGAAAACCTTTTTTTGAACTGGTTTATATATATATATATATATTTTTTTAATTTGCACAATTCTTTTGTTGTTTTCTATTGGGAAATTTAGTTATTTTGTTATTTTATTATGGACGTTTCATTACGGACTTTTATTTTTGTTCAATTTCAAACTTTTATTTGTATCAATTTTTAATGTATTATTAGTTGTGGTCAATGGATATGTATGAATGTTTAATTTTTATTTTGATATATATTGTTGATGTTTACAATTTAATTTAGAAAAAAATTAAAAAAGAAATGTTTTATCCAATAAAAAGGGGAAAATCAGTTAACCGAAAAACCGGTTTTCCCCCCAAACCGGTTCGATTTCGGTTCAAAAAAGTGGTTAGCTGCTTTTCGCCGCTCTAAGAGCAGTCCTACACAGGAGATGCAACAATGACTGCCTATAGGAGATAACGTAGAGGAAGAACGGGGACTTGGACTCCCATTAATTAAAAAGAAACCAAAGGGAAATCCTTAATCTTTGTGGAGATACCCCGGAAGCCAGATCGGGAGAAACGGGGAGGGTTCCTTCCTTTAATTAAGAGGAAAAACTAGAGACAGGAAATGCTTCCTATTATGTTATGCGAAAACTATTACTTTTCTTTATTGCGCAAAATCAGACGAGACTAGATCTCTTAGGCAGGGAAAGATCAAGAACTTTATTTTATAATACATATCAGACCATCCAGACGATAGAAGCTTTAGTCTGCTCAGTCTGATGCCTAAGAAGCTAAGATTGCAATCATCATCCAAAACCTATTATAGTAAAAAAGCAGTTATCTACAAAGATAGGTGATAGGTGGCTACTCTGTATAGACCTCTTTACCTAGATCCCATCGGATCAGATACAGACCTAAAGGATGGACAAGCGGACGTTAGCTATACCCCTATCCTCAGCTCTACTACTAATAAAGAGTCGGAAGGCATCTTAGCTCGGAACCGAACACTCGCAGAAAGGGGAAGCTAAAAGCAAAACAACCTTTATTCAACTACCAGACAAGCAAAGACGGGAAGCTACTCACCGAGGGAAAAGAGCAACCCTACGAGGGGGAAGGGCAACTGCTTCTCTTACTACGCAATTAGTAGGGAACAGAGCAGGACCCTACTCTTGCCTTTAGGAACAATAGCGACTTCTTCTGGAAAGCGGGAAACTACTTACTAATATAGAGGCACACTACTATCAGGAAAGGCCTGGTCGTTCCTATGTCCCCAGTTGCATTGGGTAGGCAATCCAGAGGTAGAACCTGGAGATCAACCAATGACTTCCTCACAGACAGGATAGGAAAGCCTTAGAGAGAAGACAGTTGGGCGATTGCGATTACTTAGAAAGTCTGAAAAAGCATCTGATACTCTAGCTCGTAGCGATCCCATAGAAAAGGACTCACTCTAGTTAGGCCTGGCAGAAGGTTTCATCATTCTTTCTTTTAGCCCAAAGGGGAGCACCCTATTATATTACAAAAGAAGTTTTTGAATAAGATGTGGGAGACACCCTTAATTTGAAAAGGTAAATGCTTTTTTCCCACCCAAATAATGACATAATAACATTTTTTCACTCACAGATTTTTAAAATACCACTTTATTACCCCAATTTATATTTCATCTCCGATTCCGGCATCGATGTGACCCCACACCCAAGGGCGGATTCAGCCCCTTTGAGGGTAGGCCCTCAGATTTGGAAAAAAAAAATTATTAATATACAGGCCATAAAATTGTTAATTAATATATATATCCAGATGCACTTTCAAATTTTTAAAAAATAAAAATTATTATACATACCATATATCTAGGTCTACAAAAAAACTTGTTATTAATATATATATATATATTCTAAGCCCAAATCATATTAAAAGTTTAAAACTCTCTTAAGTGTTTTTCTACACAACTTTACCTGTTTTTTTATGATTTTATCTGCAAATTCTTTACTCTCTCTTTCTCTTTCTCTTTCTCTTTCTCATGTTATTCTCTCTTAAAATTTTTAAAGACTGAAATTGTTAAATTTTCACTTCTCAAGGTGTCATAATTAGCTTCGTTTTCTGTTTTATAAATTTTAGGTATGTATATTGTTCATTTTAATTTAGTTTATTTAAAGATTGAATCATTCTTTTTTCTTTTTGAGGTTTTTTATTCTAATTTGAGAGAAAAATATATTAATCTTGTGAGTTTATTTTGTATTTTCTATCTAAGAATGAACATGTTTTCTCAAATTAAAACTTTAACTATATTTTAAAGGACGTTATTCTTCATCTTTCACCCACCACTTTCCTATATTTTAAACGTCACCGTTCAGTTGTTCAAAATTATTAAAGAAATTTGAATTATTGTTTATGTTTGTACTAAAAAAAATTCCCCTATTTTATTAATTCATATTAAAAGTTAACGTAACGTTGACTTTATTTAAGTTTTGGTTGACTTTAGCTTCATTATGCTAGGTTTGATCAACGCTATGAAAATTTATATTATTATATTTGAAAGCCAAAAATAAAAATATTAAAAGAAGGTTTTGTTCAAGGTTTACTCAACACTTTTACTCAAAATTTTGCTTCTCATAGATTTATTCAAGTAAGAAAATATTGTGTTAATATATATATTTTTTTCTCAGGCTTTTAATATTGTATTATTATTTTTTTATTAAAGTTTGATGATTTTTTAAAGTTTTCACTAATTATTTGGCAAATAATGGCCAAGCCGTGGAGGCCCCCCCCGACAAAAATCCTGGATCCGCCACTGTCCACACCATCATCATTCTCTTCCCCGATCATCACTCATCAAAACCTCTCAAACCCTACTCTCCTCAACCCCACCAATCGTCAACAATCAAACAATTATGGTTTACGCAGTCGCCTCTTCCAAGTCAAATTTCAATCAATCCCAACTATCAAAATTCAACCTTCTACCAGACTATTACTAAAAGACTTATTGGTCTTTCCTCTTCAGAAGGCCCAACAATCTATACTGAGTTTGATCTATGTTCGCCGTCAGAATATAAAATTGCATAATAAAGTGATATTTTAAAAGTTTGTAAGTAAAAAATTATCATTAAGCTATTATTTGAGTGGAAAAAAATCGTTAACTCTATTTGATACCGTTTATTGGAATGGATAAAGCTTATAAAAATAATATAGAGTTTTTATGAAAAAAAAAAAATTATTAATTTTTTTATTATATAAAAGAGTTTTTTAATTTTAATTTTTCAAAAGATGTTTTAATAAATCAAGTCAAATTTATAAAATATAATAAAGATATTTTTTTAATTTCAACACTCTGTATGAGCTCAAAAGTTGCTTATTTTGTTCTCTTATAAGTCATAAAATAATTTATTTTAAATCCTATAAACGCTTTTGAAAAGTGTTTGTCGCTTTAAATAAACTCTATTAGCTGATAGATAAGCTCAACCAAACAGTTTTTAGATTTATAATTAGAGTTGATAATCTAATTCTCCTAATCTATAATTAAATAACAATTATCTCTCTATACTATCGTTAACTTTTTATTGGATGCCCAAAGGCCAATTAAGTAAATATTTATTAACTTATCATAAGATAAATTTCAACTGTTCACTAATTGTTGTGTGTAATTTTCCAGTAAGCTTGGAGTATTGCGAGGTTATAGCTCGATCCAAAACCAGCTTGACTCGATCGATTGTCCAACCCAGCATAAGTTCGTTGAGTTATAGCTCGACTTAGCACAAGTTAGTCGCAAGCAATCCTTACAGTTGTTCAACCAATTCACAGATAACTTTAGATCCCGGATATCTCGGGAAGGATCAAATCGAGAACAATCTTGCGCAGTCACAACTCACAATACTCAATCACAAAAATATCGGAGTTGCATTTCAAACTTAATCCTAATCCCTTTATGTTTGCTCTTTCTTTTGTACAAATTCAGTATATAAACCCACTTCAACGATGAAAAATGGGTTAGCAAATTATTATAGGATTGTCATTGTAAACCGTCACAGCAAATACAATAACAGTGGATGTAAGCTTAAGAGTTCAACTCGCCGAACCACTTTAAAAATCTCTTTACAATTTACTTTACTGTACTGATTATTTATCCACTATTAGTTATCTATAATCACACACACATCTGTTTCGATCCCAAGTAGGTCGATCGGATCACCCAAGTTTGTGTAATTCTTGCATCAACACTAATAATAGAGAGATTTGTATTACTTTTGAAATCTTAGAGGATTTTATTATTCGGTTAAACCTCACAAGTTGAGAAAATGACTTTTATAATTAATATATATTTCAACTATCTAGGATATGGTTCAATCAAACAATTTTATTCAAGTAATTTCTTTTTCATATTAAACAATGAGTATCTCTTTATATACAAACATTGTGACATGTCTTCTTTCATTATAGATGGTGAAAAATTTGGAAACATTAATTTGATTTTATAATATAATTGAAGCACCTGGGTGTTCATAATAAAGTTTTATGGAACAATTAAATGTATTTAGGGACCATCATAAATGAGTCATCAATTTGTTATAAATAAAGCAAAGCTTTGAAATTTTCCATCATATCGAAATGTTAGAATATGTGGGGTTTTTATGCCCTTTTAGACGAGAGTTTTAGTCGCTTATATAGTACAAAAACACCATCACCATCCAGAGGGCTCAAGGCCCAAAACGAACAATACTTCTGAGAAACCATCTACTCTACTATGTGTCTAGATACGACATACATCAACATTATTTAAACTCTATTCATTTGTTAAAAAAGTTTTATCAATTTGAATTTCAGGTTTTTTTTTTTAATTTAAAAAAATTAATAAATTTAAATAATTTTATCAAGAACATGGCTTAGAGAATTATATGAAAAAAGGCTTTCAAATTGGTAGTTGTGTATTTGACTATTTTGATTTTCTATTTATTAGGTGCATCCACCTTTCTTCTCTCTAATTGTTTGTTTGTTTGATAAGAAAATTGCAATTGGGCTTCTTGTTCGTAACGGCCTAATCATTTGATTGGGCTTGTAATGATCCATTAGACTGTGTTAGCAGAACTAAAACGCTGCGTTTCATTGAAGACAAACAAAAATACCCTTGAAGTTTTCACATTTATCATCTTAGGTTCATATAAAAGCACTACAAACCCAAAACCCTAATTTTTCTTCTGTCAGATCTTCGCAGCTCAGGCTCGTCTAGAGGTACTCTCTCTTCCTTACTCTGTTTGGCTTCCTAGAGGACTCTGAAACAAAGAAAATATTTTAGATCGTTTCTATTAAGTTTACTTGTTTCTTAGTAAGCGAAAACTCAACTATTATTTAATTGCTTGATCTGTGTCTCGCCTTCTTCATTTTTATTCTCTGTTTTGAAGGTTATTTTAGTTAATGTTAGCCCTTTTATTGCCTTTGTTCTTCTTTGTGAATTCATAAGCTCTTTATTAGTTTTTGTTTTTTGTTTTCTGACCATATGAACTCTTTGTGTGTGTTTAAACGTATGGTTTGTTTGTTACCCTGTCTGATGTTTCAACTGAGAGCTGGGCACGGTTGTAAAATCCCATTGCAGTTCTGTTATGTATTTATCCAATAAATTAATGAATATAGGAAATGTATTTATCCAGTTAATTAATGAATAGAGGAAATGTATTTACTTTTTCTTTTTCTATTTTATAGTTTTGGAGACGTTTATTTATGTTTCAAGGATTTGATAAAAGCTGGGATGTTCTTATTAATGATTATATCTTTGTAGTCTTAATGATATAAAGCTAATAACGATTTGAAGTATTTGGTTTGAGTAACAATATTTGGATTGGAATGGGTGGAAATGCATGTTGCTTTTGAATTGAATGTTTCTGTTCTGCTCTCTGTTTGTTAGAAATTTGGATCAATTGTGTATTAATATAGTTGATGTGTATGTGTTGGCAGGTTATGGCTCCAAAACAGCCACATACTGGTCTCTTTGTAGGGTTAAACAAAGGTCATGTTGTGACCAAGAAAGAATTGCCTCCACGCCCATCCGTTCGTAAAGGGGTAAGTTGTTTATGTCCCAACAAATTTACATTGGTCACAGGATTCAAACATTGCAAATATACTGTATTCATTTAAGAGAAAATCTGTCTCTTTTCTCGCATACACGTCCACTGTACTGGGTACCAGTTTAGTTTCATGTCTTTGGCCCTCTATTAAAAGCTTATATAAAGAGAATTTGTGTTTCTGTTGGCATTCAACAAAATTCAAGCAAAATTAATTTTTTAGGGATTCCATTATTCTTCCTTTTGTATTTATCTTTGAGAGGAAGGATTTACAGTGTCACCTTCATGTTATCTTCTTATTACAGTGTTAGGTTTATCGTTTGAAACGAATAAGTTAAATTTCAAGATTCCTTCTAATTTGTGGTGAAAAGAGTGGTTATATATAATTTTCCTCCATGTTCTTTTGTTTTCATGCAGAAAACTAGCAAAAGGGTCCACTTTGTGAGGAATGTAATCAGAGAAGTTGCTGGTTTTGCGCCATACGAGAAGAGGATTACTGAGCTTCTGAAAGTCGGAAAGGACAAGCGAGCATTGAAGGTTGCCAAAAGAAAGTTGGGCACCCACAAGAGGGCAAAGAAGAAGCGTGAGGAGATGTCTAGTGTTCTCCGCAAGATGAGGTAATTTTCAAGTAGATACTGTTTTCATTTGTGTTTTAGTGTTTGCTCAGCATTGAAACGTGCATAAAACTTGTATACCCAGTGTTTGATTAAATTATGTTTATGAGCCAAAAGATTTGTTGTTTTCAAAATGCTACGTTTTTTCTTCTCAAGACAATTTTTAACTCCTTCCTCTATGAATTTGCTGCAGGGCCACTGGAGGTGGAGAAAAGAAGAAGTGAGCTGTGGACTTTTGACTTCATTATAGTTAGAAGAGTTTGTTTAGCGTATGTTGTTTTTTCATTACTGAAGGAACTTAGTTTGATTTGAATTAAAAATGAGATATTGGAAGCAATGCCTTTAAAACATTTATTCTGCTGTTGGCATTTTCTGTTTGTTCAGAGAAATATTTAGTTACCTGTTTTCAATTCTGTTGGTGCTTCATTTTATATTCTTACAGAATGAAATTTTGAGCCCCTGTTTGCCTCAACTCTTAACCAGGAATAATGAATACTACGATTCTCAGTTTGATAAACTTATAATAAAGACTTTATTAATAATCAAATATAAATATTTAAGAAACTGTAGAGACTGAATTGAACATATTAAATAACAAAATAATGTAAGCTGTACCGTCGTCTAAGTACCATATAATAAGAAGATTTCACACAACAATGATGAAGTATGTTAATTTGAAAAGAGTAAAAGACATATTCTCACCAACGAAATTCTAAGTTAGTATCACTGGTTTCATTTATTCCAGATTTTCACCCTTAAAGTAACAGCGTTATGAATTTTTAGGGTTTAGAGGGTGCAATTACCATAATGCTCTTAACCCTAAATTAATAAATTATGTTTTAACCCCTAAACTAGTGGAAGTATAAACTTATCATTTTATTTTCAAATTATATCAAAAACACCCTCAGTCACTATACACCCTCGTCAGAAATAGTCCGACGACGTCGAACCCCCGGTCACCTCCATCACCTTCCCTGTAGTCCATCGTCCAAAACCCCTCTGGTTCCCGACTCATTTGCCCCTCCAATTGTCGGCACGGTTAGGCATAGGGTTTGGGTGTTCTTCACCAGATTCCAGTCGATTCCGACGGTGAAAATCCAATTGGACACCACCAATGCAACCACCGTCCCCAAATCTATAAAACCCCTATGTCCCCAGCAACTGTTTTGTCGTCATTCGCCGGTTGAGAGTTCGTGTTCATCGGTCGTTTTTTGTTGCCGTGGCCAAAGATCGACGAGTGATTAGGGGTTGTGAATTGTATGGTTTTGTAGAGGGGAGGATGGAGGTTCAAATGGTGGTGACAAGGGTGATTTTGGGTGGAAGAATCGCCGGAAAAGAGCGAAAAACGTCTGGAACGACGGCTGCTAATGTGCGTCGGAGGACTGTTAGAGGCGTTGATCTGCTAACGTGCGCCGCCCATGTAAAATGACCAATTTACCCCTTTACCGTTACATCAAACGTTTTTCCGTCACTTTAAGGGTGAGAATCTGGAATAAATGGAACCAATAGGACTAACTTGGGATTTGCGGGAACATGTCGTTTACTCATTTGAAAACCATCATTATTCCTTGGTTATTTCAGCCTCTTGAACTATTATTTAAATGCAATCCAATTAGTAAATTGCTAAATTACTAACAGAATTTTCCCTCTAATAATTTTTAATCACCTTAGTATTGGTCGGGATTTGTTAAATACCTTATACCCCTCATATTTCAGATGGTCTTAAGTTTTAAATTCAGAAAGTCAATGAAGGGAGCAATTCAACCTCTAGGGTTTTTTCCCTCTTAATTAAGAACAATAATTTATTTGAGTGATAATTTTTTGTCCTGAGTTTTTTATGGAACTAAACTAAAGAGCCTTTAGAAAATTTCCAAATGACTCTTCATATGACCTAAACTCTTTTTTATAAAAAATTTATTCATAGAAAAAAGAGTCCAACAAACTATTTATTTTTTAAATATAAATTAAAAAGTGAGTTGACTCTCCACATTCAGAGAGTCAAATTTTACTCTCTATCCTAATTTAAATAATAAATTGCAAGTTTTTATGCATTTATTTATGATTTATTTTCCATAAATTCTTATTGAAAAAAACATATTCTCTTCTAAAATTTAAACAGTCTATTGGTTTGAATAAAAAATTTATTTTTTATATTAAAATCAACAAAGATGCTGTTATTATATAAAAATAGTTCTTAAAAAAAGAACACCATTGGAGATGATTTAGAGCATCTATAAAGGACTTTTATATAGACTCAAACTCTTTATTATAAAGAGTCTATCTATGAAAACAAGAGTCCAAGAGACTTTTATTTAAAATATAAACCAGAGAGTAAGTTTGACTCTCCACATTTAGAGAATTAAATTTACTCTTTATCCAATTTTAATTAATAAACTACAGTTTCTATAATTATATATTAATTCTCTCTCATTAAATCTCTTTCTTAAAAATAAAGAACTTTATTAAATTTAAAGATTCTATTAGATTTGAATAAAAATATGTTTTTAATATTTAAAAATAATAAGATACCATTTATTTATATAAAAGATGCTTTTCAAACAAAGACCACCATTAATGGAGATGCTCTTATAAACCAACATAATCTGCTCTCTTAAAATGATAAATATTAGTAGAAAACGGAAGTGAAGTTACCTGAACTTTAATTAGTCAAAGTCTTTAAAAGAGAGAGCACAAATTAAATTTATAAAGAAAAGAATGAACCAAACATACATAAAAGTGGAGAAGATTAAGAAGTTATCGGATACGAAGGGCCAGAGTCTATATTTCGGAGCAGTAGCGGATCTAGGATTTTTGTCAGGGGGCCTCGGTTTGCCATTATTTATCAAACAATTAGTGAAAACTTTAAAAAATTATCAAACCTTAATAAAAAAATAATAATACAACATTATGAATTTGAGAGAAAATAATATGCAATAACACAATATATTTTCCTACTTGAATAAATCTATAAGAAGCAAAATTTTAAGTAAATGTGTTAAGTAAACATTAAGCAAAACCTTCTTTTAATATTTTTATTTTTTGCTTTCAAAGATTATAATATAAATTTTTATGACTTTGATCATACATAGCCTAATTAAACTAAAGTCAACAAAAACTTCAATAAAGTCAACGTTGCGTTGACTTTTAATATGAATTAATAAAAAAATGGGGAATTTTCTTGGTATAAACATTGATAATAACTCAAATTTCTTTAATAATTTTAAGCAACTAAACGGTGACATTTAAAATATAGAAAAGTTATGGGTGAAATGTGAAGAATAATATCCTTTAAAATATAGTCAATGTTTTAATTTTAAAAAACAGGTTCATTCTTAGACATAAAATACAAAATAAACTCACAAGAGTAATGTCTTTTTCCCTCAAATTATAATAAAAAACCTTAAAAAAGAAAAATTAAATCCTAAAATAAACTAAATTGAAATGAATAATACACATACCTAAAATTAATAAAACTAAAGCAAAAATTTAATAATTTTAGTTTTTAAAAGTTTTAAAAGTGAATGACACGCAGAAAGAGAAAGAGAATGAAAGAATAAAGATTTTTTTGGATAAAATTATAAAAAACAGGTGAAACCGTAAATAGAGTTTTAAACTTTTAATATGATGTCGGTTTGGAATATATAAATTAATAGTAAGTTTTTTATGGATCTAGATATATATATATATATATATATAATAGTTTTTATTTTTTAAAAATCTAAGAATGAGTCAAGATATATATATTAATTAATAATTTTTGTTGGCCTGTACATTAATAATTTTTTTTTTTTTTTTAAATCTGGGCCTACCCTTAAAAGGGCTAAATCCGCCCCTGTTCCGGAGGAAAGCTGTTTGTAGTTGTGTTGTAAATTTCAATTGGCCTCCGGTTAGAAAGAAACAAAGGCGTTGGTTTTTATCTTAATTTATTAAAAAACTAATTATTTATTTTCTTAAAAGAATTTTACAAGAAGATAGTCATGCGTTTATGGAGGACAAGTAGTAGTAATATTCTTGTGTTATTTGAAATACCCATAATCATATTTCATACTCTACTAACGGTATAATTATAAATGCAAAGATATTTGAGAGATCTTCTAATTAGGAAAGTAATCAGAAGCTAGTTTTAGTATATCTCAAATCCTACTTCAAACAGGTTTCAACGTTCTTATTTCCTTCTCTAAAACTGATTAATCTTCATTACTTTTTTTCTTTATATATATTCCACCCAGAATCCAAAACTCACTATCTTATTTCAAACAGGTTTTAGAAATCATCAGCCCCTCTAAAACCCATTAAGATTTTTGTTCTGCTTTTTGCGTCTCTGTTGCTCAACAATGGTCACTCCACTACCAGCATTACCAAATAGTTTGAAGGGTGGCATATCTTCGGAACAGAAGCGAGAGAAGCTATCTTCAAGAATGGGTTCAAGAAAGGAGACTCAAAAACAAACTTCCAAGAAACAAAAGCTAGTCACCTCTTTTAATGAAATAGTGACACCCATGATGAACTGTAAGAACTACAACAGCGAACAAGAATCTGAAGAAAGAAGTGAAATTTCAACAGAGTTCAATGTTGTTCATCAAAGCAAAATCAAGAAGCGGAAAACAAGTGACACCAGCCTCTCGTCGACGAAGAGCACTCAAATTTCAACACAACTCATGTTGTTTGATGACACTTGGCCTATCGCAAACATGCCAGTGGCTAAAGAACACTTTGAATTTGAGGGAGTGGGACTTAAAAAGAAAAGAGAGATGGCCAACCCCAAGAAAATAGCAATGATGAAATATTACAGTCGTGAAGAGGAAGAAGAAGAGAGACTGAAGGGAGTTTCTACCAAACTAACTCTCTACACTGATCCATGGAATATAAAGAAGAGGCTAACACCAAGTGATCTGGGTTATCTGTGCAGGCTTTTGCTGCAAACAAGTTTGGTGGACAAGTATGTTTTGCAATACCTGAGTAGTGAAGAGATTAATAAGGTTCAGAGTAAAGAGGGTTTGAGAGTTATGATGTGGGATCAAGATACTGAATCCCAGCACTCTTTGATTCTGAAGAAGTGGTCAACTTCAAAGAGCTACGTTTTAATTGATGGATGGGGTCAGAAATTCGTAAACCGAAGGGACTTGAGAGCAGGAGATGATATTGGTTTATATTGGGACCCTTATACTTCAAGATTTAATTTTCATGTCATTCAACGAGCTGCCTCACAGTAAGATTTGATATCATGGAGGGATGGGTACATAAAAGTAAAGATCAGTTTAGCCATTGTTAGTTAGATTTTTGAATAGTAAATTTTGAGAAGTGAGCTCAAATGTCATGTTTATACTTAATGACATGTTTAATTCAGTGTAGCATGAAAGGTTGCCAAAATATTGTGAAATACAAGAAAAAGATTATATGTTAAAAGAAGAGCTTAGACGCCTCAAATTGATTATTGATGCATTGCTTATAAATTTTGTTTTAAATGATAGTTTATTGAATTAATTAATTATAAAACTATTCTGGGTATCAAAAGAAAATAATAAAATTTATCTTTTGGTTTCATTAATTTCATTTTTGTATTGTTTAACAGTCGAATAGCTCATGCAAGTAGCTACTATAAAGGAAAAGTTACAAACGATGTGCAAAAGTGATTCCTTAGAATTTAGAACAAAAATTTTCTCTTTGCCTTGAGAGTTTATTTAACGGCCCCTGCTCATCAACTACAACTACAACAGTGAGCAAAAATTGGGCTAGATTTATGATTAGATATTACATCGCCGGCTTCTTTGCTGCAATTGCCGGCGAGAATAATTATTGGAGCTCTAGAAAAAGAAAACAAAGAGGATGAGTTATGTTTTGAACCTCTGAGTGAGTTTCTCGACACCACCTCTACAGTCTCCGGCTACCCGCTTTGCACCTTCAGTGACGGCTAATTTAAATTCTACAGTGCTTTGCTGCAACTCATGTACTGATCCCTTAGCTTTCAAGATCGCTGCATCTTTTAATTCTTCAGCTCTTGTACCGGCTTTTGACGCCCACTCCTTAACAACTGAAATGAAGAGAAGTATCTTCTGAATGATCTTATCAATTATTTCTTTAGATTTCCCTCTAACCTCATCAGCCATTCCCTTAAGCTTGTCCACCAGGCTCTGAGCCCTGTTGACACTTCCTTCCACTGAGAATTGCTCGCCAGCATTAAGCCACGTAACTCCACCAACACTCTCTTCACGGAGGTCATTGTCAACTACTACTTTAATGCCATGTTTCTCCCACCGGTCTCTTGCTTCCTCCAGGGCTTTTGCTTGCTCCCTTGCTCTTTTAGCCTCATCCTCGGCCCAAGATCTGCATTGGAACAAAGAAGAAAATGATGATGAATAGTGTGATGGTTTCAAAAGAATTGATGCAAAATAATTTGGGCCATCTTAGGCATAGATATCTAAATTGCAGGTTAAGTTTTAACCTAAATTGGTATCATCTGATAAGAACAAAACCATCTATGAGCTTCAATAATCCTAAAGAGTCACATATGTGAACTCTGCCAAAGTTGAGTCATTTCCACTAATAGGACAGACAAGTAAAAATCATGGTAAAATCTGACAAACACAGTTTAGTGGAAATGCATACTTCTACAGAATGCACCTTTCGTACATTCTACAAACTTAAATCTACAAACATCTAAACATAAAGTTATCTTATTCTTTGTCTTGTCTTTTTTTTTTTCCCAATTTAATTTATTTGGCAATGAAGTAAAAGGCATGAATGCATACGTTGCATGTGTTTTCTTTCATCATAAACAAATCAAGTATTCACTTTAGGTTCATATTCTTCCCTGTTCTTTGATTATTGGCATCAAATCAAATGCAAACTGTATATAACTGCTTCCTGCAAATAAAATCATTTTTTTCTTACCTAGCCATAGACAAGGCTTTCCGCTCAACCTCCAGCTCATATTGTAACCTCGCAATCTCCTGGTTTTCATTCTCTGCTTCTATTCTAAGTTTGCTAATTCTTTCCTTTTCATATGATATCTCTACCTTGTTACTCATAAGGCTCTCCAACTGCTCCTCCACTTCACGCCGTAACTTTGACAGAATTTCCATTTCTGATTCAATAGCAGCATGCTCCTTCATCAAGGCAATTCTGTTCCCCTCTCTCTCTGCTTTCAACCTTTCCAATTCCTGTCTTGCCTCTTCAGCCATTTTCTCCACAGCATCAATCTTGTCCCTTTCCATGGAAAGCTCTTTCTCAAAACTTGCATTGATATCCTTCTCAACTTCAGCTATCAAAGCATTATGGGCAGAAACTGCATTCTCTGCTGCAGATTCTGCTTCAATTCGTGCAAGCTCATCACTAACTATGTCAGAAGCCTCCCCAGTTGCAATTGCAACAGCAGCTTGGGCTTTTGTGACAGGTTTATTTGGCTGGAAGAGTCTTGTGCAACCTTTTTCACATGCAAAAGGAAAAAAAATAACAGAACAAATTAGTCATAAAGAATTGAGATGCAAATTAAAAAAAAAAGAAAAAAGAGATTATCAGTGAATGTGACTCACCAAAAGCAAGAGCCATTATTCCCTGTTCTCCCGCAGACAAATCAGCTATAAGTGCAGGCCAAGCATCTGGGTTTATTTTATCAATGTCAATGAAACCAGAAAGTTGGTGTAGGATCTGCATGTGGCAATATAGGAGAAATCAGTGCAAAATCTATCATTACATTTGGAACTATGTAAATAACACATAGTTGAAAGTTTAAAGTAGACCACGCTTTAGAAAAGATAACCTTTCTGTCAGCTTCTGGGAGTTGTCTTTTCTCAAGGGCCATCTTCCAACTTACAAGATCCTGACGTGATAATGCGCTGTAGCACAAAAGAGTTGATAACTATAACAAGAAGGTAATCACACTGAAATACAACACAAATTAATTTCATATCTGAAACACCTAAAAAATGCAAACTTGACATATATCACATGACTAGAAAGATTTAGAGTGCTTATTTTTAGTTATTCACTATTTTATACTTCTCCAAGTGAAATCAGCATTACAGGCATTGGACCCAGCCTCCAGATCATGCCTACAAGGTTTTGGTCACAACTCAGATATTTTGTACCAATACCAATTAAAAAATGAAAATCGCAAAAGTGGTCATACATGATATGATGAATGTTCAACAGGTCCAGATACTCAGAAACATAAAAATAAATAAGTAAATAATTTCAGTAATCAAATTCAATAAAAACAGATTTAGATTAACTAAGGAAAGTTAATAGAGTAGCATTTTAGGTAGAGTAATAGAACCAGCAATGTAAACATTCTTTCTGCCATGAAATTGTAGCAGCAGCAAGGAAGATTGGCATTCAAGGAAACCAATAAACTAACCAAAAACACAAAATCATATTGCAGTCATTGGTCAAATCACCTTTCAGGAGAGAAGCAGAGTGGGCCTGGATCTTCATTAAACAAATCACGTTGAGAAAGCTTGCTTGAGATAAGCCCTGCTTCTGCCAAGCCTGAAACATCAATTAAGTTCATTAAAATGCAGCAAAGCATTATACGATAACAGTAACACTATCTTTGAAAATTATAAAACAAAATAAAAATAATGATAATAACAATAATGCTTACCTTGAATGGATGAAAAATCAGGGTCTTTGGGGGTAATGTCATCAAATGCAAGTTCTGAAACATTGTCGATATACATTGCGGGATACACTTTTGAAACTGTATTCCTGCAAGCAAATGAACAACTTTCGGATCACAAGGTTCCAAACTTATGATTTGCATTTTGTATGCTATTCAAACACAAACAATGTGCATCTCATAATTGCTGAAACAAAATTCCTGAGACCACATACAACCATTCAGAAGGACATACGTACCTAGAAAGAACGCTACTTGCAGACACCAACCAACGAGCATACTCACGACGAGTGCAAAGATCAGTAGGTTGAGCATCAGCCTCGATAACCTGAATAAAAATATTTTAATTACTGACTAAAAGTCTCAAAAGCAATAATTTCGGCCATAGAATTCAAATACACAGGCATAATGTACATGAGGTCACTGCATTATTAGCTATTTAAAACTAATCATAGACACAAACTAAGAAAGTACCTTCAACACTTGCAGTGCTGCTAGTGCCTGCCCCTGAACCTGATCAACAACTGCAGGAACCAGAACCTTCCCAGGAAGCACCTGTAGAGCTGCAGAAACTACAGATGGAGCAGGTATACCAGCAGGGGAGAATGAACTCCTAGTAGGTGGTACAGAATATGAGCTGCTTTCATAAATCTCATTTTGATGATATGTCTCCTTTTCATTTGAAAATGGATTGGATGATTCTGACACAGATGCTGTTCCAGAAAACCCACTCTCACTGAAGTTATGAACTTCCAGGGAAGAATTATTTCTTTCACCCGAGGCTTGTACCTTTTCACCAAGTTCAAGATTTTCTATGGATGAAGGTGAGGATACAGCCTCCATGAGATCTTTGGGCACTATCTCAGGTTCTAAAATTGTGTCTGAACTGACTGATACAATCACAGCCACAGGCTCAGTGGGTGTATGAGCACTGGAAGCAGAAGTGGAATCCAATGAAACATTGGAAACATTTGATCCGGGCAAACCCTCCTGATGATCACTGCTAAGGTCGGTTGGATTAGACAAGTTGGTTGGTTCAACATTTACAAGGTTGTCTTTACTGACTTCAGAAGTAGATTCAGGTAAACATGCATCTATGCTGTCATCTGAATCTTTAAGGCTAGGGGCAATAAAGGAACCACCAACGGCATCAGGTTCAAGCAATTTTGTTTCATCAGGAGCAACTGAGATGTCATGGAAAGCTGATTCATGTTGCAAATCTTCTTGAATGGAAGCATTATCAATGACATTAATGCCACTAGATGCATAATTGACATCATCTACTGACAGTTTTTCAGTATTGCTGGCAATTTTATTTTCACTGGGAACTTCATTATATTCAGAAGAAGAAGGAACATTATCTGTACCTGTCTTGCTTTCCACACTGTTATCATCTAGCTTCACATCACGCTCCCCATCTCCATCTCCATCCTCGTCAACTTTAACTTTCTCATTATTAGAGGCCAATGAAACTTCCTGCTGAGCTGTCAACAGTTCCATTTCCGGTTTTACTCCTGTGCTCAAGAACATGTATCAATCATAAGTGCCAGGAAACAATATTGTAGACGTACTTAAGCACTCGATAAAATCTATTCCAAAAAAAGCAAAAGGAGGCTACAACTTACTGGAAGTGCTCCGCTTGCTCAGAGACAATGCAGCAAAGAAAAGCCCCGCAAGCAGAACCACTCCAGCCACTCCGGCACCCACAATCCCTGAAAGCAAACTACTTTGAAAGTGTTATTAGACTATATAAAAAGAAACAAATGAACTCTGAAAGCATCTAAACACGGAAAACCCAACTTTATCATCATCTAAGTCCACTCAATCATGAGATTTCCAGTCATATTGAAGTTAACTAAGCATTACTGTACATAAGACAATGAAATTATTGTAATTTAGCATACAAAGCAGTTTAAAACTCAAGTAATGCACTCAATGTACATCAAATCGTTTAAGTTTTCAAAGATCAATCGGGACGCTTGAGCTGCATTTCGCATATTATATTAAACTAACGTGACTACAAAATTTAAACACGATAGGAACCATGAAGAATTAGATTTTTTATTCCCAAAAAGAGAGCAAAAGAGATTCTTTCTCATACCTCCAAACCACTTCTTTCTCTGCGATTCAAGCGACTTTTCACCATCATTATCCGAACTGGACCACCCGGAAAAGGTATCACCCGTGGAGTTCGACCTGATCCATGAATTTCCATCACGACGCTGTCCCCCGGTTGGTATATAGCAGAAAAGGCGAACTGGATGATTGAGCTTCTTGAAACGAGAGCGAATGAGCATTGCGGGCGAATTCCCGCAATTCCTGCAATTGAGAGCCAGTCGGAGCTGGAGAGAGCTGGGGGAGCACGTGGCAGTGACAGAAGCCATTGGAAAGGCTACGGTTTGATTGAATTGAAAATCAATGATAGTTGGTTTGAGAAATGAAGGAGATATCTAGGGTTTTGTTTGGCGTTTATGGGAAGTATCAGACAAGAAGAGAGTGATGTTTCATTTTATCTATTATTCTATTTATCCTATCATTACATATTTGCGTGATGTTTGAAATATTATTAAAAATAAAATAAAACTCAATAATAATTAAAATGCACTCTACCTACTATTGTATTGACTGGTACCGGAATTTCATTTTCTGTAACCTTACCTCACCTACCTTTTCCCATTTATTTTAAATTTGTCCTCAACTAAACGGGCGACATGCAGGTTGTCGTATGCTAAGAAAAACACATCGATCCATCCTCCATAAAGATACGACATGTCATCCACCTCAAGAGGTTATCCAGCAAGTCTTTGTATCACTCAACACCACGACGTCCTCAAAAGGAGGAGACGAACCATTCGTTCTATACATAGAGGAGCAACGTCTTTTTTTTTTTTTTTTTTTCTTTATCATGGGAATTGTTTGAACTAGTTTATGTACATATTAATTAATTTTTTGAAACCTTAATATTATCGATCGGATAAAAACTTCAATGATCATCTTTATCACTGTTTGGAGAACTTAAACTCAAGAAATGGTTTTTTTTTCCCAATTTAATTTATTTGGCAATGAAGTAAAAGGCATGTATGCATACGTTGCATGTGTTTTCTTTCATCATAAACAAATCAAGTATTCACTTTAGGTTCATATTCTTCCCTGTTCTTTGATTATTGGCATCAAATCAAATGCAAACTGTATATAACTGCTTCCTGCAAATAAAATCATTTTTTTCTTACCTAGCCATAGACAAGGCTTTCCGCTCAACCTCCAGCTCATATTGTAACCTCGCAATCTCCTGGTTTTCATTCTCTGCTTCTATTCTAAGTTTGCTAATTCTTTCCTTTTCATATGATATCTCTACCTTGTTACTCATAAGGCTCTCCAACTGCTCCTCCACTTCACGCCGTAACTTTGACAGAATTTCCATTTCTGATTCAATAGCAGCATGCTCCTTCATCAAGGCAATTCTGTTCCCCTCTCTCTCTGCTTTCAACCTTTCCAATTCCTGTCTTGCCTCTTCAGCCATTTTCTCCACAGCATCAATCTTGTCCCTTTCCATGGAAAGCTCTTTCTCAAAACTTGCATTGATATCCTTCTCAACTTCAGCTATCAAAGCATTATGGGCAGAAACTGCATTCTCTGCTGCAGATTCTGCTTCAATTCGTGCAAGCTCATCACTAACTATGTCAGAAGCCTCCCCAGTTGCAATTGCAACAGCAGCTTGGGCTTTTGTGACAGGTTTATTTGGCTGGAAGAGTCTTGTGCAACCTTTTTCACATGCAAAAGGAAAAAAAATAACAGAACAAATTAGTCATAAAGAATTGAGATGCAAATTAAAAAAAAAAGAAAAAAGAGATTATCAGTGAATGTGACTCACCAAAAGCAAGAGCCATTATTCCCTGTTCTCCCGCAGACAAATCAGCTATAAGTGCAGGCCACGCATCTGGGTTTATTTTATCAATGTCAATGAAACCAGAAAGTTGGTGTAGGATCTGCATGTGGCAATATAGGAGAAATCAGTGCAAAATCTATCATTACATTTGGAACTATGTAAATAACACATAGTTGAAAGTTTAAAGTAGACCACGCTTTAGAAAAGATAACCTTTCTGTCAGCTTCTGGGAGTTGTCTTTTCTCAAGGGCCATCTTCCAACTTACAAGATCCTGACGTGATAATGCGCTGTAGCACAAAAGAGTTGATAACTATAACAAGAAGGTAATCACACTGAAATACAACACAAATTAATTTCATATCTGAAACACCTAAAAAATGCAAACTTGACATATATCACATGACTAGAAAGATTTAGAGTGCTTATTTTTAGTTATTCACTATTTTATACTTCTCCAAGTGAAATCAGCATTACAGGCATTGGACCCAGCCTCCAGATCATGCCTACAAGGTTTTGGTCACAACTCAGATATTTTGTACCAATACCAATTAAAAAATGAAAATCGCAAATGTGGTCATACATGATATGATGAATGTTCAACAGGTCCAGATACTCAGAAACATAAAAATAAATAAGTAAATAATTTCAGTAATCAAATTCAATAAAAACAGATTTAGATTAACTAAGGAAAGTTAATAGAGTAGCATTTTAGGTAGAGTAATAGAACCAGCAATGTAAACATTCTTTCTTCCATGAGATTGTAGCAGCAGCAAGGAAGATTGGCATTCAAGGAAACCAATAAACTAACCAAAAACACAAAATCATATTGCAGTCATTGGTCAAATCACCTTTCAGGAGAGAAGCAGAGTGGGCCTGGATCTTCATTAAACAAATCACGTTGAGAAAGCTTGCTTGAGATAAGCCCTGCTTCTGCCAAGCCTGAAACATCAATTAAGTTCATTAAAATGCAGCAAAGCATTATACGATAACAGTAACACTATCTTTGAAAATTATAAAACAAAATAAAAATAATGATAATAACAATAATGCTTACCTTGAATGGATGAAAAATCAGGGTCTTTGGGGGTAATGTCATCAAATGCAAGTTCTGAAACATTGTCGATATACATTGCGGGATACACTTTTGAAACTGTATTCCTGCAAGCAAATGAACAACTTTCGGATCACAAGGTTCCAAACTTATGATTTGCATTTTGTATGCTATTCAAACACAAACAATGTGCATCTCATAATTGCTGAAACAAAATTCCTGAGACCACATACAACCATTCAGAAGGACATACGTACCTAGAAAGAACGCTACTTGCAGACACCAACCAACGAGCATACTCACGACGAGTGCAAAGATCAGTAGGTTGAGCATCAGCCTCGATAACCTGAATACAAATATTTTAATTACTGACTAAAAGTCTCAAAAGCAATAATTTCGGCCATAGAATTCAACTACACAGGCATAATGTACATGAGGTCACTGCATTATTAGCTATTTAAAACTAATCATAGACACAAACTAAGAAAGTACCTTCAACACTTGCAGTGCTGCTAGTGCCTGCCCCTGAACCTGATCAACAACTGCAGGAACCAGAACCTTCCCAGGAAGCACCTGTAGAGCTGCAGAAACTACAGATGGAGCAGGTATACCAGCAGGGGAGAATGAACTCCTAGTAGGTGGTACAGAATATGAGCTGCTTTCATAAATCTCATTTTGATGATATGTCTCCTTTTCATTTGAAAATGGATTGGATGATTCTGACACAGATGCTGTTCCAGAAAACCCACTCTCACTGAAGTTATGAACTTCCAGGGAAGAATTATTTCTTTCACCCGAGGCTTGTACCTTTTCACCAAGTTCAAGATTTTCTATGGATGAAGGTGAGGATACAGCCTCCATGAGATCTTTGGGCACTATCTCAGGTTCTAAAATTGTGTCTGAACTGACTGATACAATCACAGCCACAGGCTCAGTGGGTGTATGAGCACTGGAAGCAGAAGTGGAATCCAATGAAACATTGGAAACATTTGATCCGGGCAAACCCTCCTGATGATCACTGCTAAGGTCGGTTGGATTAGACAAGTTGGTTGGTTCAACATTTACAAGGTTGTCTTTACTGACTTCAGAAGTAGATTCAGGTAAACATGCATCTATGCTGTCATCTGAATCTTTAAGGCTAGGGGCAATAAAGGAACCACCAACGGCATCAGGTTCAAGCAATTTTGTTTCATCAGGAGCAACTGAGATGTCATGGAAAGCTGATTCATGTTGCAAATCTTCTTGAATGGAAGCATTATCAATGACATTAATGCCACTAGATGCATAATTGACATCATCTACTGACAGTTTTTCAGTATTGCTGGCAATTTTATTTTCACTGGGAACTTCATTATATTCAGAAGAAGAAGGAACATTATCTGTACCTGTCTTGCTTTCCACACTGTTATCATCTAGCTTCACATCACGCTCCCCATCTCCATCTCCATCCTCGTCAACTTTAACTTTCTCATTATTAGAGGCCAATGAAACTTCCTGCTGAGCTGTCAACAGTTCCATTTCCGGTTTTACTCCTGTGCTCAAGAACATGTATCAATCATAAGTGCCAGGAAACAATATTGTAGACGTACTTAAGCACTCGATAAAATCTATTCCAAAAAAAGCAAAAGGAGGCTACAACTTACTGGAAGTGCTCCGCTTGCTCAGAGACAATGCAGCAAAGAAAAGCCCCGCAAGCAGAACCACTCCAGCCACTCCGGCACCCACAATCCCTGAAAGCAAACTACTTTGAAAGTGTTATTAGACTATATAAAAAGAAACAAATGAACTCTGAAAGCATCTAAACACGGAAAACCCAACTTTATCATCATCTAAGTCCACTCAATCATGAGATTTCCAGTCATATTGAAGTTAACTAAGCATTACTGTACATAAGACAATGAAATTATTGTAATTTAGCATACAAAGCAGTTTAAAACTCAAGTAATGCACTCAATGTACATCAAATCGTTTAAGTTTTCAAAGATCAATCGGGACGCTTGAGCTGCATTTCGCATATTATATTAAACTAACGTGACTACAAAATTTAAACACGATAGGAACCATGAAGAATTAGATTTTTTATTCCCAAAAAGAGAGCAAAAGAGATTCTTTCTCATACCTCCAAACCACTTCTTTCTCTGCGATTCAAGCGACTTTTCACCATCATTATCCGAACTGGACCACCCGGAAAAGGTATCACTCGTGGAGTTCGACCTGATCCATGAATTTCCATCACGACGCTGTCCCCCGGTTGGCATATAGCAGAAAAGGCGAACTGGATGATTGAGCTTCTTGAAACGAGAGCGAATGAGCATTGCAGGGGAATTCCCGCAATTCCTGCAATTGAGAGCCAGTCGGAGCTGGAGAGAGCTGGGGGAGCACGTGGCAGTGGCAGAAGCCATTGGAAAGGCTACGGTTTGATTGAATTGAAAATCAATGATAGTTGGTTTGAGAAATGAAGGAGATATCTAGGGTTTTGTTTGGCGTTTATGGGAAGTATCAGACAAGAAGAGAGTGATGTTTCATTTTATCTATTATTCTATTTATCCTATCATTACATATTTGCGTGATGTTTGAAATATTATTAAAAATAAAATAAAACTCAATAATAATTAAAATGCACTCTACCTACTATTGTATTGACTGGTACCGGAATTTCATTTTCTGTAACCTTACCTCACCTACCTTTTCCCATTTATTTTAAATTTGTCCTCAACTAAACGGGCGACATGCAGGTTGTCGTATGCTAAGAAAAACACATCGATCCATCCTCCATAAAGATACGACATGTCATCCACCTCAAGAGGTTATCCAGCAAGTCTTTGTATCACTCAACACCACGACGTCCTCAAAAGGAGGAGACGAACCATTCGTTCTATACATAGAGGAGCAACGTCTTTTTTTTTTTTTTTTTTTCTTTATCATGGGAATTGTTTGAACTAGTTTATGTACATATTAATTAATTTTTTGAAACCTTAATATTATCGATCGGATAAAAACTTCAATGATCATCTTTATCACTGTTTGGAGAACTTAAACTCAAGAAATCTTTTTAAACTCTTTTATTATCATATCATTGAGTGATGATTAAGGTCATTATTTCTTTATATCACTTGACATGTCAATTGCCTACTTTATGTAAATAATATGTATTACAATTTTAAATACTTATTGAAGATATAACATTTTAAAATAATTCATTATTAAAGAATTTATAATTAGATATGTCATTTTTATTTGTGGTAAATATTATGGATAAATAATTCATAAGACGTTATATCTACGTTCTATTTAGATTTAGAATAAATACAATTTTTAAATTAAGGAATAAATAATCTATCTTTTATGGTGAAATTTCAAATGACACATCATTTCTCATTGCTTCCATTGATGTTATTCATTCTCAAAGAACCGGACATCATGTCATTAAATTTTGCATCAACCGACATATTGTTCTATAAATACTCCCAAACAACTTGTCATTGTACCTCGGTGGGATTTAGACATTTGATTTGCTTGTATCAAACGACTTGTCGTTGGTCCCATTTATTCAAACGACATTTAAACTGTGGATTGCATAACGACAGCATGTCGTCCTCTTGACACAGACTACATGATGTTGCCCATTCCTTTCTTTTCAACTTAGAATCCGATTTGAAACCCTTACCATATTTTTGCGGCTCCATTCTTTTCACTGATCTTTAAAGAAAGATAATTCTAACAAATAAAAACCTATCAAGTTATTACATACACTTTTCACTTTATTTGCTTTACATGAGATGGATAGATTTTAATAATCAAAATTTACCTGTTAAATCACGTTGGACAAAAGAATATAAGAACAAAAAATTAAAAAATCAAGTTCTAATGTTGTGAACCCTTAACTAGGTACAAACATATTGAGCATGACCATGACAAAACCTGCCCTGCTCGTGCTATCCCGTACTTCCTGGGAAGACTATTTGCACAAAATGGAATTTTCATATTGGCTGACAAGATTAAAGAATTATAGAATGGCCCTTATAAAAGAAAGGGTAACCAATTAACCGAAAGCAAAATTGTCCATTTAGCCCGGCTTACAATCAGAAATTACATACTACTACACTCCATGTCTCCCATTCTCTCAGGTGGAAAGAAATTGCCCAGAAAGTAGAACACCGAGAGCATGTGGAACCGCTTAGATGTTGTATTCCATGTTATAGTAAATAGAACTGTGAATACAGATACTCGCGAATCTTGTAGTAGTCTTCACATAAGGGGCCTTCTATCACAATCTGCTGAGTACCAGAGCCTCCACCCTACATTTAACATACAAAGACCAAAAGGCATTTTCTTCAACAATTACTATCCCAAGCATGGTTGCTTTCCACTTCAAAAGTCTGAAACTTTGACGGGGAAAAATGAAAAAGAAAAACAAATTAACTGGGATCACTCTCACCTTCTGGCCAGCATTCCCAACCTTGCGAATTGTGACAAACTCACCACATCGCAATGCTCCACCAAGGGCAAATTCTACCTGTAAAGGATATATCACTCTTTAAGACATACCTCACTAGATTTTGTGGACTACGGTACGTCAAGTTATCATCATCTTTTCATATTTTAACATAGTCAACATATGGCGGGAAAGAAAAGTAACATAGCAAGTCAAATATTAATGACCAACATGAATTGTAAACTAAATAAATAACAAAATCATTAGAGGAGCAAATCTTCGATGAACTGAAACTTGAGATGGCAAGGGATGGATTCCAAATGCCTGAAGACGAGCATGCACAGATGCATACACGATCTTAGTTAGAGGCCCAGAGATCCAATAAGACATGCAACCTTTATGCAAATTCTGTAGTAAGCTGGACATGTATGCATATCTGCATGCAAATATCACATACATGGATGGCAATGTCTAGTTGTAATACGGTGCAATAAAGTGAGGGCATCAAAATAGGATCTGATCAACTTGTTCCGACCTAGATAATAAGCTCATTTGCTTCGTCTTACAACAATGTAGTAGTTTCTTGATTGAGCTAGCCAAGCAATCAATAAAGAAACTAATGGTGAGGCAGAGACTACACAGTCTCAACTTCACCAGGACCCATTCACCTTGGAAGAGGAAAAGCCATGTGAATGCATATGATTTGCAAACACATACAACACATGCCAAAGAGAAAAAGTAAGTAATTTTCCTATTCGTTTTGAAGCCCAATTTAAATAGTTTTTGACATAGTCCTGATGTGTTGCATCTCCAATTATTATCACTGTTAACTTAAAAGAGGACTAGAATAAGAAACATATAATAAGGGCAAAAACAGAAAAAGATGGACAACATATCAGTCACAATTAACCTCAAGACTTTCATCAACTTACATCAACAATTATTTCAGCAAGTTTGATCGAGAAGTACCTGGATACCCTTACTGCTGAGAAAAGGCTTAAAATCAGCCATTTTCAGATCACCAACAAGCACTGATTTATGTGGTGGAGGGGAGGTTGAGATTGGTAATAAAGACAGCATGCCATTCTCTGTCTTCCCAACTTCAGCATCAACCCAAGCTATTTCATAATCTCCCAACTGAGATTGTAGTATTACAACGCATGAGGAAGACAATAAATAAATATGTGATACTGTTAAGCATCTTAATCTATGATTTGCTGTAACACTTACCTTCTTAAAGAGCACATTACTCATCAACTTCTCAGAAAGTTGTACCTAAATGTCATGTAAGAAGCAAAATGAATCTTGCTTCTGGAATCAATAATCCACAGAAAAAAAATTGAAAATAAAAAATTCCCAAATTATACCTTATAAGCACATAAGTCAGAGGTGACATCAATTGTTTCTTCAATTTGGGGAGTATAAACATGAGGGCAAACATGCTTCAAGCAGTTTTGTTTCAAATGTTCAGTGGCCTCAGCTGATCCATGTACCAAAACCTTGAAGGAAGAAACAAACGCCATCAGCTTCAGAATAATACTCAACACACATGCATCTCTGGCAAGTTCTGATGTTCACTAAGGCTAATAAATTGATTGCAGGAAGATCAAATTTAAATGTAAAAGAAGTGGTGATGCAACAGACTCAAGAACACTCACCAAGGGAACACCTAAAAAGCTACCCAGCTTAATAAACTTCTAAGGAAAAAAGCCATTCTCTTATTCTGCAATGTCCAATATCCTGATATGATCTATTTTTGACATGCCCAACGTCTGTCAAAACTACTCATTACTAACAGAAAAGTATTGCATATCCACCAAAAATATCTTTACAGATACAGCACAATTATGTGTCAAAACTACCACAGAATGATATGCAAAATAAATTAGCACATGCAAAAGCCATTTAAATGATTAATTGATCACTTAAATTAACAAGATGTGCAAACAAAAGGATTCCCTGCCAAAAGAACATTAAAACTCAAAAAGCATCATATGCACAGCCTGTACTTAGTGTAAGTTGAATATAATTAGCACTAGTATAAGGCCAGGTGACAAGCAGAAAAATCCGTACAAGCTTTAAAGGGGCCACATGAGCAAGAATTGTTTTGATTGAGCGGCCATCAGCACGCCCCTCGTAGTCCATATAAATCAACGAACACTTCACTTGTACCTGACCACCAACGTAGAACACAGCTTCAGTAAAGAGCAAATTTTATGCCACATTGCACCTGGACTTTGCTTGAAAAAAAGAAAGATAAAGCTACAAAACTGTTACAGCAAGAATTTGAGATAGATCCAAAGGAAGGCATAAAACTTTCCGGCAAACTGATGGCAGAACTACTAATAAACAGTACCAAAATTCATTGATTCCATTACTATTTCAGCACAAATAATAAATTGAAATTAAAATTTAATCCTGAAACCTCTGATTGGGATCCCACAGAATACAAATTTTTGGGTTGAATAAATGTTTAAAATTAAAGCATGGATCCAGTTAACTATGTCAGGTTATGCTTGATTATAAAAACAAATACAATATATCGTTAAGAAAACCACACAAAAGAATTTAGTCTGAGCTTGCCAACCACAGATATTACAAGAACCAACATAAATTGTTTGTGACAGCATAAACCAGTTGAAAACTCCCCACCTCAAGTGCCTCATATTCAAGTAAAAAATAAAATAAAATAGGGAAGGCAAAAAGAAAAAAGAAAAAGAAAAAAAAGGACATTATCAGTAGGAAAAATCACTGACTCTAACTGAAATCACATAATGAAAGGCAGATCTCATCTATATGATATTTTCTATTATACAATTGTTTAGCAAATTATGATGGAAGTGATCAACAAGATAATATTGATACTTTGTTAACCAAAACCAACATAATCATCTAATGCTCCACAAGTTAGGTGATCTTAAAAATAAAAAGAGGTGAGATACCACTTTCTAGATAGCTTGAAGCAGAATTCAACTTACAGTCAGTTCATTAGATACAACTTTTGAAGGCTTTGTATCAAGTATCAAGCTAGCAGAACCTTCATCAAGTTTTCCATCCATATCCCCAACCTGAGAACAAAGATGAACTACAA